GTCGTCAACTTTTGAGACAGGTACTGAATTAGATAGGGTGATAAAATTCCCTACGCCGAGACCATACTATGCACATATTTATTTACTAGCTATCCACCCCGGCTTCGCACGGTTGATTTCTGCATCTGACACCGAGTCCAATTGTGAATCTAAACCATTATCTAATCAACTTAATCACACACACAAAATATCATCAAATTCGGTCCAGCCGTTTAGGAGTTCAGTCACATATAGACGGACAGAAGAATTATATAATATCTAATATACATATATTATACATATAATATATCCTCTTGAATTACACTTTCTATTGATGAAAACCGCATAAAAATCCGCCGCGTAGTAAGACGGCGGGAAGCGACTTTGTTTTATACTAATAATATATAGAGATATCTTTGACTTTGTTTTTTACTATATAGAAATGAAAAATTCTTTTGCAAACTCAATATTGCCAACCCGCCTGCCAAGCGTGGCAACGATGGCAAAATCTCCCTCTAGAACAATCTATGGGGGAGGCCTATGTTCAGCACTGTTGTAAGTTGTAATGGATGGATAAAAGTAACAGCATCTATAGCTATAATATCTCAAGTAGCTGTTTACGAAATTTACCAAGAACGAGGAAAGTGGGTGAAGATACAGCAAACGCACTACATACTTTAAATACGCCATGACGTATCTCATTCGTATAATGGTCGCGTGTGGATGATAACTGGGGAACAAGGGTAATAGAATGGAAAGTGGAGCGTGAAATTAAAATAAGGTATATGTACGATGAACTGTTCAAGTAGTATTACTTTTCACAGTGGTATAGCCACGCGGCAGCTTTTGTTGTCGCACGGATGGGCCGGCTCGAACCGGGGTGGTACCACGACCTCACAGAATACCAGCGTGAAGTAGAGGTTTACCTCTGCGTTTCGCTTGGTGAGCGCAGGTGGCCGGAGACCCTTTTTACTGGAAATGAGGCATTCCATCTTAGTCCTCACTGGGTGACAACGCATCTGTATTTTGATTCTTAATCGAGGATACATGTTTATGTCTATGGGCCACACCATCCACTTACCATCAGGTGGAGTGTGTGCTCGTTTGTCACCCTTATTCTATAGAAAAAAATAGTTTTGTCTCCGTTTTGACGTTAAGCTTCGTTGTATTATGTTTTTTTTTTCAATAATATCTTATTAAAGGTTGCATAATACTATCACAATGTAAAAACATAACGCAGTTCCGGATTGATTCACACCGGCAAACAATCTTCACCAGAGTTACACAATCGCACTGTTGTTATAGAGATAACCCAAGCTAACGACGAAGAAATGCGGTAATTAAGAAGTATGTTAGAGTTGACTGAGGTGGTTATCGGGTGAGAAATTGTGTGATAAAAGAAGTATGGTTCGCAAGACGTAATCAGGATTAAGAAAGAATTGCTTCAGGGGTTTGTACACGAAGATAGAATGAATGAGGAAAGTGACAAAGCAAATTTATGCTGCAGAAGTGAGTAGCAGATTCGGCAAAGGACACCTTGGACGGAAGTTTATAGAAATTGTCAATATATTGAAGATGGGCGAAAATATGAGTACCTACCGAGATATGTCGATGTGAGAGCGATATGTTAACATTACACTTCCGAAATTTGAATCCATTACAACTTTCAAATGAGGAGTTAATGATTTTTTTTATAGAATAAGGGTGACAGACCAGGCACATAGACCATAGAGATCTACATTTATCCTCGATTAAGAATCACAATGCAGATGTGTTGTTCTCTATGAGAAATAAAATAGAATGCTTCGTTACCAGTAAAAAGAGTCACCGGTTCTCTACACTCACCATACGAAACACAGTAGCATTATTCTGCTGTTTTACGCTGGTATTCTGTGAGAGCGTGTTCTATCTAGCATGCCTGCTGTGTGGCTCTAGCATATAAGAATAACAGTTATGTAAAATTACTGTGTTCATTAAAAGGTATGAAAGATATTATACCTAAATATACGTTCCTACGTTTCACAGCTGGGTACATGCAATTTTCATCTTTGAATGTTTACTGGAAAATACGCGGTTTATTCATTTCACTTTTGTGTGCACAACTGTACCAGTCTAGGCTCGTACACAATCATGATCGCTCTATGTGAGTAAAGACAAAAGTATATGCCTAGTGAAGGCCGTTACAGAAGTGGTCGATAACATAACTTCCGACACCGCTAGTGGGAAATAAATACTAATAAGTATTTTGAAAAAAAAAAAAAGAAAAATTAACCTTATTTATAAAAATTAATTAACAGGGAAATAAGTATTGATCGAAAAGCAAAACTTATGTTAATAGGCGGACAGGTGAAAATCGATTGATTTGCAGATCTACGGGAAGTAAATATCTAGTTCCTTTTACTATATAATATTAGAAATTCCATAAATGGCGTTGTTTTTAATAAAGTTTTTCTTTAAAGTAGTAAAGGTGACAAACTAACATACAGTTCATATAATTATGATGGTAAGTGGATTCTTGAGGCCCATAGACACCAACATCTATCCTCTTAAGAATCAAATTACTATGGATTAAGATGGAATGCCTCGTTATCAATTTAAAGGTTATTCGGCAAAAATATCCCTAACATTTGCTTTAAACTGCCACGGTTTTTAAGCAGTTATCTTTATATATAAAAATTACGTGTTAAAAAATTATTGTGTGTTCAGTTTGGTGCAACTTGAAAGATAGGATAGTTTTTATCCGGATAAGTGACCCTCAAAAATTTTTATTGCGAATTTACGGATTTTTTATAGGACAGGGGGTCGTCTGCCTGGCCAGCTAGTTAAAATATATAATTCAATTAAAAGCTAAGAAAGTACTACATTAGATTCCTAGCGATAGCGGAATAGCCATTTAAAAAATACCAGCCTTGTAATGACACCTGTCTTACGTCTGATACCTACCTATGCCTAGCGTCTCTCACAAGATCGTTTTATGTTAGCGGTTTTAACGCAAGCTAATAAAATTTGAATATTATTACATAATATAAATGAGTGACTACACTACCCGTGTCCTTCACGTCGCATTTATTCACCAATAAACTTTCTTATCAAGTTCATAGTACACTCACCATCATCATTTTTACCTCCTATCCAGTCTTTCCCGATCGAGGGTAGTCGCCAGTTAATTAGTTGGAGCTGGTATTAGGAAGATGCTGTTGCTCATTTGTTTCACTTTCACCCTATCGCCTATAACGGCTCCTAATAGACGAAAGGGGAAAGTGTATATTTGGCAGTGTATACTGCTTACGTCGCCACTACACGGTTCGTAGTGCACTAGCATAATATATTCCAGTATATAAAAGCATATATTATATTTAAACGTATACAGAGTGCATAAAATAGCGCAAAAAGTATTTATGACATTTCAATACATCCCCACTCTCCCAACAGTTAAATGCACTGTTTCAACATACATAACGAAGACGCTTAAATGTGTTTGTATAGATGTGATGATGTTGAGGCGAGGGGTGTTGTGAAGAGGGGGGGGGGGGGGGGGGAGCGCAAGACGGTACTTACGTTAACTTGTTTATCAATAAATCACAACCTTTGTAAAGGTTTTAAGGTTTCTAGAAGGAATAATAAGCGCTAAAGCAAGAGCACGTAACCGTTAATTAACATTCATAAAGCCGCATTTTTGTTACAAAATTAAAGGAGATATAAAACCGGATCGGTTGGCGCCAGCGATGCGCGTGGGACAGAGATAGATAGCGGAGTGAGCGAGCCGGAGCCAATAGAGGGGGGAGACTTGGGGAGGTGTGGGGAGAGGTCAGATTCAGTGCATATCTAAGTGATGTATATATAATAATGGCAAAAGTTTTATCGGTGTTTGGGTTTCTATCAATAATCATGAATACTTATTTTATTATGAATGTACAGTAAAACAATGATTACTGTAAGTAGTATTCTTACAAATTAAAAATAAAAACGTTTTAACATGACATAAATATAGGCTTTAATAAAAGTACTCTTAAGATAAATGGTAACGGTGTACACTACTCTGTTAAATTATATTAGGTACTTATGTACTTTCTTGGAATTATTTGCCCGACGACATCAGGAAAGCGCCTAAATATTATTGGAGATGGTTTGAGAAAAGTTTGTAACTGCAATATTCAAATCTCACCACTCTATAGGTTAAATGATAAAGAATTCCTATAGACATTGCAATGGCTCTCCTTTTTTAAAGGGGAATGCAATATTGATTTGAAATAAATGAATAAATAGGTACTATTGTTTATAGATACATGTAATTCACAATTTGATGCAAAATATAAACAACTTTACAACTACCTAGTAGTAAATAGGTACATATAATAAAGCGGCCCTTTGTCGCACAATGGTTTAAGCTTTTTTTCTTATGTAAGTAGTTATATCAGAATTTTAAAAATAAATATAATATGAATTTCAAGATTTATATAAAATAATTTTAGTTCATAGCATTTGTATTTGTGTTCAAATAAGTGTCATACCAGTAAACATTAGGTAGTATAAATTTATCTTAACTGCAGCAATATTAATTTAATTACTCGTTCAAAATAAAACTGCACCAATTATGGTTTACCTGCCTTTATTACTAGTTATAATATAAAGCTAAAAATAGCTTCTTACAAAACAAAACAATTAACTTCCTTAATGAAAGTCATTAAAGATAACGTTAAAATAAATTAATTATATACAATCGATATATTAAAAACATCACTACTTGGGTCAGACGTGAGCGGCGGCCCGCACCCCTCTCGCCATACCGCGTCCCGCGCTCGTATAAAGCAGTCGAGCGCCACGCGCGCGGCGTTTAACGTTATAGAATTGCAGTATAACTCGACGTCCACGCAAACGAACAGCCACGCGAAATCAATTGTGAAAGTGTTCTAAAGCAATTACTATACAGTGAGACTACTAACACATTACCACCACCTCTAAAAATCTTAACTTAGTGTACTCGGTGGGATTGTTTCAAGAATTTAAGAGAGTAGGGTTCAATGGAAGCAAGGTTCGTGACCTGCCGGAGTTTCCAGCAGATCAAGCCGCCCGAGAAGAGCCTCGCGCCGCAGCCGACGGTGAAGGGGCTCTTGTCTCGCTTTGGCAGTCAGGCCCAGGCACTTTTCGCGCCGAAAAAGCCCCGTTTCGGTTCATCGGTTGCGATACACAAGCTCCGCGAAACGAAGTGGTTCAAGCACGATGAACAGAATATACTTTGTGCTGTCCTCGAATCCGGGTTCGTGCTCGAAGTCCGAGCGGAGGACCCACTGCCACCGGACTCGACACTGTCACCAGACTATCACATGTACGCCATCGCAATGTGGAAGAAGGGTAAAGGTGCGTAGCGGTGTTGTTACATACATTCCAATGTGTTGCAGGTAACCTTGAGTCATCGTAATTTATCGCCTCGAGGCGACAACGTTTGAAGCGACGGAGGCTTTAAACAATACTGAATGCCTCGCGTGTTTCTCATTTTGTGCGATAATATTGTAAAATGTAAGCACAGTAACACAGCATTTGTAAATTATTCATTTGGTGTTCGATACAGCGCGCTCGTTCGCGCCATTTTATTAAATCGGGTAATGAATTGAATAGTGAGTAAATTACTTACTGATCCAGTCCAAGCGAGTTATTTCATTAAGCAAGCAAGTTACGAAAATGGGATAGGCATCGGGAATATGCTCTTTACTGAATTAACAAGCCCCTTTTATTTAAACATAATATGCTGATAGTCTTATAAAAATAATCTTATATTTATTTATTTATTGTATACTAAAGCGGCTGGTTTCGCCTTACGGCATTATTAATATTATTTAAATAACGACAACAACGAGAGAGAGAGAGAGAGAGAGATAGATAGGGAGGGGACAATGCTTGTAATTACTTGTAATAAATCATAAGTGCATGTGTAAATCCTATATTAAATGAAGATAGAATTTCACAAAGTAACAAAAATTGCAAATATTATAAATAATATTTTAAAAACTTAAACTAACAAAGAATGATTAAAAATTTTGTACCGCCGACTTCAATATAAGTTATTAAGAATAACTCAAAAACTATTGGTCTGACCTTGATCAAATTCATATTCCCATATGAATTTGATCAAGGTCACCACACGAGAAGTACCAGCTTTCAAATAAAAAAAGAATCATCGAAATTGGTTTATCCAGTATAAAGTTATGAGGTAACACACATAAAAAAAAAACATACAGTCGAATTGAGTACCGTCTCCTTTATGGAAGTCGGCAGAAAAGACAACGAACTTTTAACTTTATTGGTATTAATGTATTGTTCTATTTAATTGTCAACAGAAAAAACAAAAAACCCGGAACAGATAGAGGTGTACACAGTGCAACAAAAAGGTGTTCGCAAGCGTGTAATCAAAACTACTCTGGGTGCCTTCTGGAAGAAAGACTCCTTGATACGCATCAACAATGTGGATGATAAACAGGAGACTCCCAACAACGAGAAAGACATAAGGGCAAAGGTACAAACATACACATCCCAACGTTTCCAATTCTGCTTCCAATTTAGACAACAGCCAGTACTTCGTGATATATTAAAAAAAAAATCTATATTCAAAATTCCAAAACCTTTGCTTAAAATTAGAACAGTTTTTGTTGAGACGATTGTTAAATAATATAATCGAATAATTTTCGACACATTAAAGTGTAATTACAAACCGTAACAAGTGTAACGTAAGGTTTTTATGGTTGTCAATACCGCGATAGCAGACCAATCTACATTGTTTAATAAACATTTCTTTTTTTTGTTCCGCGCACGTAATCTATCCCTTGTAAATTGTATATTAATCGATTAAGCCGACGGCTTCAATTCAAAACTGCTTTTCGTTTTACCATATTGATCTTTTTTCGATTTAACATCTATGAAGACATAACGGGCCTTTAATGACATCTGCCTTATAATATATACATATACTAATTAGAGTTTTCATAAGTTATTTAGTAGTGTCATAAATATCACTTTCACATTTTGTTTTATTTTTGAGTAGGTTTTTCTTATTCGTATAAAACTTAGTCTTCCCTGTGTAGGTCAACGCTAGAATTGGAAACCCTCTCATTTCAGATAGCCTCATCGGGGCTTTCGTTTTTTGGAAAGTGACAGTGGAACAGCTACTAAGGAGCTTCTCCTGATTGCAGCTTGACATGGCCACTAAATCCAGATTCGAGAGGAACTGGCATAACACCCTCCATTTTGTTCATTGGTGCCGGTATGGTGAGACGCCGCAAGAAGCTCGCATGAGACAGGTATGCATAAAGTGAAAACCGAATAACCATAAAAAAGGAAAACTCAGTAGGCTTCAGAGTAAAATTTTAGAACCCCCGAATATTTTTAGTTCTCTCTGTTCTTATTCCGAATGTAATGTTGCATATTTTTTTTTACTTTTTTTTCGGTTCTATGATTTATGTTTGCATTATACAAATTATCTTGCATGTTACCATTCAGTTTAAAAATTTAACTGTCTTTACAAGTTTTAATTTTTTTTTAAATACAGTCTTCAAGATGACGTGAATAGAGACTACCTATCTTATTTCGCTGGTGGTTAAATAATGTATTGACGATACTATCTTAAACTTAGTTATGAGTTTACATAACATGTGAAATTAAGTATCAAAGTTTTATAATTACGAATTTGTAATGACAGTTTAGCGATTTTACATTGTACCGCAAAATTTAGATCATACATTTCCGAGACTTGCTTATTTTTTTAAAGCTTACTGTGATTGTCAATGCTTATTGTATGGAGTTGTATATAAGAACACGGGGCTTCCTCATACACTGAGAACTTGGGGAACATTAAAATATAACACTAGCATCGTGGGAGGAAGATCATTCATGTAACGCACGGTATTGCATGGGACAACGATTGGACCGAAGAGTAGAAAAAAACAGAGATCGCACAACGTAGAAATTTTGTTACAGATCAGCTTAACGACGTCGAAAACACCTATGATTATCATCTTTTGATGGTCGTAGAGGCGCTATGGACACAATCAGCCGGCTACCTTTACAAATACCGGTGAGGTTTTTCTTTTAAAACGATTGATTGGAGTGCCCCAATGTTCAGATGTTCAATGTGCCCCATTTGTGTTTTTCCTGTGTGTTAATTGTCACTCTCTTGCAGTAGGGCTTACGTTAGATATAAACTCAAAACGTGACTAAATCGATTAATTCCATTAGAAATGTATTCTTAACTGATTAGTAATTGATTAATGGGCGATTAAAATTAGCCGTATCTAAGATAAGGCAGGCAGATAAAACAGACTTTAATATGAACTATTTATAACCTATTTCAGAGGTAAAATATTTAACCACTGCCAAAGTAAGCAAACAATTTAAATAAAAATATATTAAATTTAAATGAATGAAATAAAATAGTTTTAAATTTACAAAACTTGGTTTCTTGAACGTAGAAATATAAATAATCATTAGAAATGGCTTGATAACGATCAACTAATTATTTTTTTGAACTTGGCGGTAGACGAACGATATATTTTTGTACCGTGACGGGACAATCTATCGACACTTTTGAAAATGAAAATCTGTGCAGCTCAAACTCGTAGACGCCGCTGCCACACAGGTGCTGATTAAGTTGACAAATCCCCGCTCTTAGTCTGATTTCTACAACTATGCGCAAGCTTTGTCCGTGAAGTAATGTGCCGGGATTTCCTTGATGGTAAAGCGTGTATCAGAGACTAGATTCAAAAATGATTCCAAACGTCCAAAATGTTAGATTATATAATATAAGGCGTTACTCCAATATTACACGTACTATATACAATACAATACCGTATTACAAATAGTTTTGTTACCACTGGCCTTCAGTTAACAATAATTATTGACCAGTTTGGAAATGCTCTATATATGACGTCAGAAAGTCTTTTCGACTGTAAATAATCTATATAATTTAAAATAATGACTTTATTAAAAACAATACGTAATTTAAACTTAATATTCAATGCAATAATGATAGATCGGGGAGAAAGTGTCTTCGTACCTTGTTTGTATAAAATTGAAGAAAAATCTCTTTGACTGTACTGTTTGTATCTAGCTAGCTAATATTAACACATATAAGATATTAAAAAAAAAAAGAAAAATAAAAGTAGAAATCACTTTCCCCCGCCATTTCTCAATTATTTTTCTGTCCCCCGCCAAAATGAGTGAATATAACGAAGAAATTCGATACATTCTGAAATTTTATTATAGTTTTATTACAAAAATAATTTATGCCGAAATTATGCCGTTTATGGACCTATTGCAGTGTCAGTAAGAGTAGCACAAAGTTAGTTCAAGCGTTTTCACTTTTCAGTCCGGGAATTTAGATGTCAAAGATGTAGCTCGCTCTGGTCGCCCTTATGCGGATAAAGTCGATGTCATTTTTGAAAAAGTGGAGCACGATCGGAATATTAGTAGTTACGACATAGCCGAGGAATTGAGGATTGACCTCAAAAGAGTTTTGACCCATTTGAAAAAGTCTGGCCATACAATAAAGCTCGATATTTGAGTACCACGCGAGCTCACTAAAAGAAACCTAATGAATCTTGTACACGTTTGCGATTCTGTATTGAAACTTAATGAAACCGAACCATTTTAGAAAATATTGTACTGGTGATGAAAAGTGGAGCACCTACGACAAGTCATGCAAAAAAGGTTCTTTATTTATTGCTGGTTAGGGAAAATAACCCTATACTGTAAATAACCAGTAATAAACCCGGCGGGATTATTAAAAAACAGTTACCAACATCCATAATAATTATTATTGAAAGAAACAGCTTTGTAGTGATCATCTCATTCTAAGGGTTATTATTTTAAACTTATTCCTTATTATTATAATAACCTAAAACAAAGTAAAAACAAAAGTAAAAAGTTGTGCTACCCATATGATAAATTAAATGGCCAGTAATAATCAGAGGCTTTTCAGGAAATTATTAAATGTGGTGAAATGTTATTAACATAGTGTTATCATATATTGTCTTTAGATAATTATAAATTAATACAAATTGCGCTTACGGCATGTAATATAAAATGTAGCTCGCCTTAAAATTATTAAGAACTGTGGGAAATATATAACAAAGAAAAACAGAAGATTCCTAAAAACAAAAAGTTTTCTGTTGATATAGAAAATTACTTACAAACTTTGCACCCAAACAACCGTTCGTTTATTAACATGTAGCACTCGGGTCAACCCTCTCGTGCAAGATTACAGATAAATTGGGTTAATTGACACCCGGGTCGCCGGTCGTAGCAGTACACGTTGAAAGAAATTCGTAACGCCAAACGTTTTCTGTCTCGCGTGCTTTAATAAGAAAGACATGAAGTTGTATCTTTAACTTCATATCTTTTATATTTAAAAAATTAACTTTGTATATATTATTATTATGCTGTTAGAAGTTTTCAAGACTGTCTTATCATTTGAGGTTTGGGATTTTCGCTTTTAGGTTGTGAGTAATATGAGCTACAATAATTACGGTAAATATTATTTTCAGACTAGTCACAACTATTCCACACTAAAAAGAAGTGTTTAAAAATACAATGATATAAACGCAAATTATTAAAACAACTGCCGTGAGCCATTATTTCCAAATAAATTAAATAACAATCAAAGTTCACCCAATGTGAGAGACACCGCTATTGACCCTTTTCTAGTAATTTGTTGTAATATTTTGTTGATTAACTTGTAGCATATATGTGGCTTTTGCATTACTTGATTTTAGTAAACTATTTCTGTACATTTTTTTTTATATTTTAAAATATTTTCAAAATAAAACTATCGTTTATCAGATACAATTTTTCACGAAGATTATTTGCTAATAATTTATCTCCTTGTTTCAGATAAGCGAGTCGCTAAAATGGGGCAACATTGGAATGAACATGGGCGTTATGCTCGTGAGTCAGAATAATGCAAGAGCCAAGGCAAAATCAGTCTGAGTGTTGCCAGCCAGCGGCCGCGCCGCCGCTGGTCAATCGTGCTACGCCTGCTTCTGGCAACCCCGGAATATTGACAATGTCTAAATTGTTTTTTTTAACGTTCCCACAGCACTGACGTGACTGAATTGATTCTACGAAGTCGATCTTGATCGTTTTAGGACCGAGTCCGCGTAAAACTTATCTGTTTCAGCTCTCAATGTTAATTTTAGTCAAATTAGTATGCAATGAATGAATCTACAATATATTATGGTAAATCATTTTATTTGTCCCTAAAATAAGAGTAAGTAATCATATCTTTAAAAATCGTATTAATCATAAGTGATGAATATGTTCAAAACTTTTGCTCGGTCCTTTAACCGTTGATACTATTCTAGGTTACTACAATTGTGCTGCTATTGATCTGAAGCCATACTGCCGTTTCTTCACTTTTGTTATTTTCTACTTTGGAAGTTGCTCACTTCATTTCAAAGCTATTTCTTAACTTTAGTCTTGATAAAATATCCATTTTACTTTTATTTCCCAATGATTTTCCTTAAGCTGTATGTGTTGAACGTTCAAGCACACTAGTAAATCTGCTCCTAGGAAATGTCACTTCGATGAAAGTATGTTTCCAATTCAGTATTCCTAGTTTTCTACCCGCTTAAGTTTTGCTTAGCATAAACTTATTTTATACAAGTTTAAGCCCAAGCTTTAATTTCGATTTGAATAAATAATATCGAAATTTTTTTTAACATTCCTGACATATAATAAAAGCGATTGTTGCTTCCTTTGTTAATTTGGAAATATTTCCATAATCTACAAATATCAAAATGTTTATCTATAAATTAGTTGATAAATGTGAAATCTATCAAATCTGTTTATCCTTGTTTCTGATTATAAGACTGTTCTGGTTTTTAATGAAAATATTATACATGATCCGACTACGAAAAATAAATTGTTATTTATTCCATCGAGGAATTAAATCTCCAAAGATTCTACGCAAATGCTATTTAATAATTTGGCCAAGTACTTACAGCCTCATTTACGTAAATTATAATTTTTCGTAGTCGGTTGAATGATGAGAGTATTGCTAAGTATTGCTATTTATAAAGAATAAACGACCTAATATTAATGTTGAAGAGAGATGTTGTTTTCGATTGCTGTGAGAGTATTTTACGCATAAGATAAAATGTTCTATTTATATCGAAGCATTTTTGTAATTAATAAATAGATTACATAATCGACACAATTGGTTTTATTTGATTCCTTTGCATAGAAATGAGCATATATGTACTAAAAATAAATTTTAAATATTTGTAGTCACCGTCTTGTAGTTCCCCGTGTAGTAAAGACTGGGAAAGAATGCCAAAGGGCATTAAGTCCACCCTGTCTATTTTTTATTAAGCTGTACAATAAAGCGTAAATAAATAAATAAATAAATAATGGCTGCTGCACCTTATCATCCCTTTGGTATCGTAAAAGACGATAGAGGGAATTGAAACAGATGGGCACCAGCATCTTCTTGATAGCAACTAATAATGTAACTGCTGTTGGCAACCCGACTGTCAAGTTTGGCATCTATGCAAATCCTTATCCTCCTTATGAGGTGATCTATGGGCCAGGTTTTATGATCAGCAGTTGATTCTTGACAGGCTGTAATGAATGACTTCGAGTCTAAAAGACTCAGTTTTCATAATGATGCGCAGAGTTCTATTGATATTTCTTCTATTTTTTATACACCATGCACACGACTGCAATAATAATATAAACTGAAATAATTTAAAGGCTATAATAGAAAAGTTTACGTTTATTATCATCTGTGCTCAACTCGAAAGTTATGAAGAGTTAATAAAGTTTTAGAGAAATACAAATTAAAAAGTTGGCAGATCCAAATATATTCGGAATGGAGCCACCGCTGCTTGGGGCCGAGACGGTGGGTACCTAAAACGCTAATATTATTAAGGCCAGACGAAGATGCAGTATTAGAAGATATAATATTTTCAGATGAACTTTTTTTAAAGAAAAATAATTATTAACTAATTTATTGATATCTCTTGGAGATTGTTTGGTATTAAAGAGGTATTCTATTTAAGTTGTCTATGGACAAAATGGATAAAAATATATCTATTTAGTGTGTGTTTGGGTGTGTGTGTGTGTGTGTGTGTGTGTGTGTGTGTGTGTGTGTGTGTGTGTGTGTGTGTGTGTGTGTGTGTGTGTGTGTGTGTGTGTGTGTGTGTGTGTGTGTGTGTGGGTGTGTGTGTGTGTGTGTGGGTGCGCGCGTGTGCGTGCATGCGTGCGTGATTCGTGAGTGTGTGTGTGTGTGTGTTTAGGAAAAATATGATTGTAGCCCTAATTGATAATTTTTACATGACCTGCTTTTCCATGTCTAGTTCATCAATGTCCTTTTATATAATATATGATATACAAATAGAATAGAGCTTTTTTTGAAATTACAAATGATTAATAATAATTATTTATTTATTTCTCACTACAAAATCACAAAAATATATTAAAACAAAGACTTAAGAGCTATTAAACAAGAATGGTTGTAGATCGATGGTGCCTAAAGTAGGTAATTAAAACCTGAGTTACAGGTCACCAGGCCTCCATCTTAGTTACCAATAAACTCTAAGCTTTTAAGGTAAAAAATTATAAAAACAGATGTGAGTGCGAGAGTTAGTGAGTGATGAGAGAGAGAGAGATAGAGATTACGAGCTTGTTGTAAATATATGAATAAAGAGTAGATTTGTGTGCTAAGGAAGTAATCACAATGACATAAGGTACTTTAAAGACTCATTTTCGCAATTCTTTACGGGTGACAACGTTCTAATCTGCATTTTGATTCGCAAACGTGGATAGATGTAGATGTCTATGGGCCACAGCAACCACTTACCATCAGGTGGACTGTGTGCTCGTATGTCACCCTTATACTATAAAAAAACTCTTATCAAATAGAGCCTACTAACACTTAAAACCTTAGCTTCCTCCTAAAGAGTGTCGGTTGAGTATCTTATATGTTTTATTATTTCTCAGTGCAACATTTAGGACCCCAGTTCGCGCTCTTTCAAAGGGGAGAGAAGTGAAGCCACCTGAAGCAGTACAAACATTTTGCTCACCGACAAACTATATACCAAGTTTTATTATTAAAAATAATGGCAGTATCATCTGCGTAAGATTAGATTTCAGAATTCAGCAGGTGATATGAAGCAGTGACATTTATGTACAGCAGAAAGAGAGTAAGTCCAAGAATGCTACCTTGTAGGACACCAAAAGGATTTGATATCTGCCTCTTGTTCTTTCGACCGATATTGAATCGCACTACTTCGTGAGGACTAGAAAGACGATGAGAACCTTTGTAAAGATGTAACACTATAGTGTAGTCTTTATTTTTGAATCACAGAGTTATATGTTGTAAAAATTACTGCGATAAGGGCTAAGTATAAAAAATAAACTGTATCTTATTTAAGTTTAGTATACAAAACTAAACTAAAATAAATAGTTTAGTAAACTATTAGAACAATCGTCCATCATCTATGATATTCATCAGATCTTTACCATATTTACATATTATACTTAAACTAAAAAACTAAAATAATCGTTTAAATAGGATCATCCAATAACAAATTATGCATGGATGACAAGAAACGTAATATATTCATACAAACATAGTAGTATCGACCTTATTATGTGCCACCATTAGAAAATATTACTGAAAATCAAATGTTATCTACCCCTTTCTTAAGTGAACGACCTCGAGTTCGTTTGTTCCCACTTTTTCTCTGGGCATTTTGAACGTATTTTAGCGTTTATGAGAAGAATAACAATATTCTCTATGGATGGAAAACGAATTGACGATCTATGAGCACTCTGTTTGTCTCCAGTAAATCTACAAATTTCTTATTTATTACTAGCTGATACCCGCGACTTCGTCCGCGTTGCTTGATATATTAACAAAGTTTTCGTATGTGCGAAGGAAGAAACATCATAAAGATAAAATTTCTTTGTAAACAATGTTATTCGTTGTTCCGTTTGTAGCTAAAATATATAAATTATCTGGGTTGGTAATGCGAGAGCAAACGACGTACAGTTGACCGTGTGTAAAACCCCATATAAAAATAGTTGTTTCTTAAACATTATATTAAATGAAGATATCGCAATAGTTTTTTTTTTTTTAGATAAGCACCAAGTTTCACAGAAATAAAACTTAGAAAACGTAACTGAAATCTATTCAGTAGTTTTTTCCCGATGTGCGCGCAACTACAAACCTCTATCATTTTATTTATATAGATTCACTCTAGTTACTTTGAAATACTCCCCCACAGAGAAAGTGGGCGATAATTACTTGGGAAATAATCTTCTGGCCTTATTTTGTGAAAAGAACATGTTTCAATACAATTGAAGATAGTGGATAGCGATTCCGCCAGTATGTTGTGTCGAATAACACTCTTTTTGTTAATGACATCCAGACCAGGAGAACTATCCAAGCTCAAGCTACACGAAGCTTGAACTTAGATAGTTCTCCTATACGCGTTATAAGCGTCGAAATCTTTTGAGCCGTAGGTGTCATAAAGAAAGAATTTATCAGCGATATTAATTGCATTGAGACATGACATTGGGATGTTAAACATCTCAGGCCCCGTGACCAAAGGTGCTGTAAAGTGCACGAAATGTCGGGAACATAAAATAGGGTAACACAATAAAAGCCGTAAAACTAGTTCAATTCAATGTGTGTTTCATAATATTTATTTAAATTACTTAATTTAGTAATGTGTTATGTCTTGAGTTGGTTTTGCGTTAAATCTTATACGATTACATTACATTTACTAAACGAGAAAATGGTATTAAATATATGATAGTTAATTTAGCTATAATCTAGCGAAATATAATTGGTGACAAAAAACATCGATATAATATATACTATTATCGATAACCAGCTAAAATAATCGTTGTACATCACTTGATTATTAATGTCTTAAAATTAAAAGTAAAATAGAAAGAACAAGAAAGAGTAAAAAAATGATGGCATCCACGAACTTTTCTGCAACCAGGGCAGAGACATTTTGGAATGAGGTGAAATATTTAACAGATTTCATAGCGGGGAAGTTGATTTGTTAGAAAAGTGTAGAGATTAATGTTTCTTTATGAAATATTAGTTATCTGTATATTGTTACGAGCTTGAGGTTCGAGACAATTAAAAACTGCCAATTGAATTACCAAAATTGACTATTTAATTACACAACACTAATTACAACTTAAAATCACACTAATAATAAAACACAGTTCGCCGTTATTTCGCTTCGAAGTATTTTCTTGTATCGCCAATTCAATACTGCCCCGGTCGTGGTCTATACCGGCCTTATATAGGGCCTCAGATAGTTTCCAGAACCTTCTACTGTAGCGACATCTAGAATGTTCGAGTACATATCGGTCCCGAAATTTCTGGACGGATCTCGACTCTCCTAGTTCTGCTACTCGATACTAAAGGGCGCTAGTGTAACTAGTGTTGCCATGTACAAGACATTAATAGTGGCGCGCAAAAATATTATAAATAATTTAAAATTAAAAATTTTGTACAGACGACTTCAATATAAGTTATTAAGAATAATCCAAAAACTATTGGTCTGACGTTGATTAAATTCAGATGGGACCACACTAGAAGTACCAGCTTTCAAATAAAAAAAGAATCATCGAAATCTTTTCACCCAGTAAAAAGATATGAGGTAACACACATAAAAAAAACATACAGTCGCATTGAGTACCGTCTCCTTTTTGGAAGTCGGCAGAAAAACAATTGCTGTCAAATAGTCTTGCAAAAAATCGAAACTGGCGCGACCGATTTTGATGATTTTGTTTGTGTGTATTTGAGTGGGTCCCTAGTTGGTTTAAAAACTCAGTTGGACGGCTTGACGGCTGGCGGATCGCTCGCATTTCGCTAGCATTTTATATTAATCAGATTATAAAAGGATAAAACAAACTACAGATATTTTTAAAAGTAGAGGAATTAAAAAAAAAAAAGAATACAGCACGGAGGCATTGTTTTGTGTATATACTGGTGGGAAGGAGGGTAGAAATAAATAAAAGAAATTATGAACAAATGATGGTAGAATGATAACCTCCCACTTGTTTTAGCGGTATAAAGTATCGCACAGGCGACTAAGAGGCATCGGTCTGTAATTCTAAGAGTCACACTGTCGTTACTATGCCCGTTGGGGTATGCTACTATTGTAGGCAAGGAAGCTTGTGTTGCTGAGAGGCTGCCCTGTGTATATTATGAAGGGTAGTGATGCTGTTGGTTTGCATACTTTGATGTTACCATGTAAAGGTCCTGATAGTAAGCAGGGTTTATTACTGAGTAGTGTTCTTTTATTTAAATACTTTTGAGAATAATTTCTAACGTCAGAAGTCAAATAGTTTCTTACAATACAGACACTAGAAACAGAAAAATTCATAATTAAATCGCACCTTTTCAATTATAAGGACACTAGGATCGTCTGTGTAACAAATAAGTTTACCTTTGTCCCAACTAGCGACATCTGGTGAGCGTAACATTATTAGCCCTCATTAACTCTATTGTACCGACAGATTCGTATTACATTTCAAAGGTCAATTAATTATGTACCTTCAGTTAATAACAATTAGAATCATTGTTTACACATGTAACTATATTCAAAAAAATCACAGTAAAATGCCTTCGTATTGAAATAAAACAAAAAATCACTTACCTCTCTGAGAAGTCCAAACAGCATATCCGTGGACAGGGAACGCTCGTGAGCTTCGTCCATGATGATTGCGCAGTAGTTGTCAAGGTCTGGTTCTCTTAGACCTTCACGGAGCAGGATACCGTCTGTCATGTACTTGATCACTGTGTTGGGTGACGTGCAGTCTTCGAAACGGATCGCGTAGCCGACTTCTTCGCCTGTAGGTAAGAAAGTAAGGTAAGGTAGGTAATTTGCATTATTGTGGCCTTGTTGTTAGTTACTTGTGCGTCAAGTTTTGGCCTATGTCAGTTACTCTAGTTCTACTGTGGATATTCTCACTTCTGAGGACTGTGCTTTGTGTCATTCTTTGGGGGAGGCTTATGCTCAGCAGTGGCCTTGCAAAAGGCTGTATTGATGATATGTATAATATATAGATATACAATTAATAGAATCAGGCGTTACTTTGCGGAAATCCATTATATAAAAGCTTTTACAAAAATTTACTTCGCAAATATCCACGTGTTATAAAATAAAATGATGTGTCTTACCTAGTATGAAGAAGCACCTCCCGCCCTCCCTCAATTGCGTGCACTATCCCCGTCACCACTAATCCCAGCACCGCTACTTCCAACACCACTACACTAGGCAAGACACACCACTGACGATAATACGACACGTGTTTCGCCTCTACACGAGGCATCCTCAGGTGATATAGACTCTACGGTGGCTAACCGCTAAGTGAGCGGCGCACCTTCTTGTCAGGTATACCTCAAAACTTAAAAACTAGACTGTACAACCAGTGCGTGTTGTCAGTGATGACCTATGGAACTGAGGTGTGGTCCTTTACTGCTGGTAGTATGAGGAAGCTCAAGGTCACTTAGCGAGCTATGGAGTGGACTATGCTCGGGGTTTCTCTGCGTGATAAATTTAGTAATTAGGATATCCGCAGTAGAACCAGAGTGACCCACATAGCCCAACGGATTAGTAAGTTGAAGTGGTAATGGGCCGGCCATGTAGCTCGAAGAACCGACAACCGACGGGGAAAAAAGGTTCTCGAGTGGCAGCCTCGTACCGGCGGACGAAGTGTAGGGGGTCTCCCCACTAGATAGAGTTACGACCTGGTAAAATCTGCAGGAAGTCAATGGATGCAGGTGAGTCAATGGATTCCTTGGGAGATGCCTATGTTCAGCAGTTGACTTGTGAAGGGTTGTAATGATGATGATAATGATGAATGGGAAAGTTGAGACGGTAGTTACCCAGCTTGCAGCCCATCTCGTCGGAGACGCGCTTGGCGACGGACATGGCGGCGACGCGGCGCGGCTGCGTGCAGCCCACGGTGCCGAGGCGCGTGAAGCCCTCCTCGTGCAGGTACTGCGTCAGCTGCGTCGTCTTGCCGCTGCCCGTCTCGCCTGCCAAACGCACACAAAACATACATCCTTGACTAATGCCCAGTTTCTATAGTTGTGAAACGTTCCGTTTTCAATTATGAGCCGTTCTGCTGTGCAGGAAGTATACGAAAAAAAAAACATGTCTGCAGTTCACATGCAGCAGAGTGAAACCTTCAGAGATAACTATACTTCGAAATGATGAAGCTAATACAGAGCACAAGAAGGATAATTGTATGCTTTATTTATTATAATATAGTATTGTTGCCAAGTTTCAAAAATATCTTATATTTTATTCTACATAATATATTACATATTAAACAGACTCCAACTTTAATATAATGGATTTCCGCAAAATAAAGCCTGTTTCTATTAATTATCCAACTTTTCACTTTGAGTGTAATATATCATAAGAATATTTTCTTTCGAATAAAATTACTTTGTAATGGCGCCTTCTACTTCATTCTATATTTTATTCTCTATTTCTTCATTCTACCTTCATTTTACCCAAAAAAATTCCTTGACTCTTAGGTCGTTCGCAAAATAGACGCTAAATGGCCTAAACATGACTAATCTATACAACTATACAAATAATTAAGATTAGAAGTGTTTGTTTGTAATGTCAAAATAACAGCTTTTTTACTAAATACATATAGTAAAAAAGCTGTTATTTCACCTCACATCAATAAAATCTCAATTTGTGGACTTTTTGCTTTAGTTCCGTTTCCAGTAAAAAGGGTCTGCGGTTCTCTACACTCACCATACGAAACACAACAGCATTTACCTGTTATTTCATGCTGGTATTCTTCTCTAGTAAAGCCGACCTATATGTGCTACAACCATAATATAGCTGCAACATGGAGCTACCATTTGACAAACCTGCAGCCAGCATGAAACAAAGAAGCCTACAACTAGCTACTTATACCCTCCTTGCCGCTTAAAACACACACACACAGCCCGCAGCTGGGCACTTTGTCATATGTCTTTCCATCTTAAGCACTCAGAGGTAACATTTCAACTTTATAGAAAAATTGCTTCTTTCTATATCACATTACCACTATCTTTATATGCACTGATGGATGGACATAGGCCTTTTCAAGAATGGGCCACGCAAGGCTATTCGTTCGTAATACTATATAGATCATTATTCTCCAAAGATTGACGTCAGTAGTCAAAATTTTTACAGTCATGAAAAGTGTTGACATGTAAACTATGCAAATGATGACTGTGTGTGACTGTCACCTCAAATATATAGTTGTGAAATAAACTTACCGACAATTATAATGACATTATTCTCTCTAATGACCTGCATGAGCTCTTCCCTCACCGCGAACACGGGCAGGTAGCGTCTCTGTTCGGATATCGTCATCTTTTTGACGAAGTCTGACTTCGATTCCGGTTCTTGTTCTTGACCTTCTAAAAAAGAACAGAAAAAAGGAAACTCAATAATACAGTTAAACCACCGTCAAACCAGACAATTTTGTCATTTTTGGAAGGACATAAAAATCTAGGACCTATTTTCCACCATAAAAGGTACTCTCAGACTGGACGTCAATGTTAAATGTGACATTTATTCTTCATAGATTTGGTATTTGTAATTGATTTAAAAAAATACTAACAATAAATAGACAAAATATTCAAAAATATAAAATGGCAAAGTTAACCTTATTTTGTGGCAAATTTGCCATCAGGATTTTTAACGAAAATAACAGGATTTCTAAGGATTAAGGTAAATTTACCACATAATATAATACATAACACTTAAGAGTTACACTTTTTTCCTTTAATTGTCTTGCCAGTAACAAAGTTTACGCTAGGGGCAAAATTTGCTCCCAGTTGTCAGAATGATTTCTTAGGCAAAAACTTTTAGAGCCACGCGGCAATTTTTGCTGTCGCACAGATGGGACGGCTCGAACCAGAGTGGTACCACGACCTCACAGAATACCAGCGTGAATTAGAAGTTTACGTCTGTGGTTCGCTTGGTGAGTGCAGATGGCCGGAGGCCCTATCCCCCCCTCCCCTTTAACATGGTAGCGGAGTTAAATAAGACACTATCCCAGGAGAATCCAGCACCCCTGGTTTCGGAGAAACCTCTTCCTGAGTGTGGGCGAAATTCCACTCGCGACTAATACTGCTCGGGGCAAACGAAGCAATAAAACAAAGGCGACCCCTGCCACGCTATGCGTGAATTTCTGTAAGATCAGGGGACTTCATTCGAACCTTAACGTCATCCACTACCATCTGGAGATGGCGAAGTCGGCCTTGCTTTTCTTAACCGAGAAACAGGTGTCCTCTCCGGCTGATACTTCGAATCTCTCCTACCCGGGGTACAAATTAGAACACTCCTTTGTGTCCCTGGCTAGGGTTTGCGTATACGTCAGAGAAGACATCTGGTTGTTTGTAGTCATCGGCAGTCTTGAAGGTACGGACCTGTCCATCCTATGTATATCTCTACACAAGGAGGACGACTCACTGGCCAATGCCGCAAAGGAGAAAACCGATCTGCTAGGCACTCACTTTGCGTCCAACTCGACTCTTGATGACGAGGGGAACACACCGCCGATCATGCTGCGGCGTGAGAACTCCATGCAGGATGTGCTGTTTACCCAGAGCTCGGTGCGTAAAGTACTCCTCTCCCTTGATGTCAATAAGTTGACTGGGCCTGATTGCGTCCCTCTTATTGTGCTGAGGACGTGTGCTCTGGAGTTGGAACCGGTTTTATCGCGTTTTTCCCAGTACTCCTACTACCTAGGCGTTGTCACGAACTCATGGAAGACAGCTTTGGTGCACCCAATCCCTAAAAAAAGGCGACCGGTCAGATCTATTCAACTACAGGCCTATCGCCATTACCTCCTTGTTCTCCAAAATAATGAAAACCATCACAAACTGCCAGCTCATGAGGTACCATAAGAATCACCAGCTGATTAGTGACCACCAGTACGGTTTCCGTCGGAGTCGGTCAGCTGGTGATCTTCTGGCTTACCTAACTCATAGATGGGCGGAGGCAGTAGAGTACAAGAGGGAGGCGTTGGCCGTTAGTTTGGACACAAAGCTTCTTTTGAAACTCACTTCCTATGGGCTTCTCGACAAATTGTGCAAATGGATCACCAGTTTTCTTGCTGGCCGGAGCATCAAGGTCGTTGTAGACTGAGCATGATCCGATTACAAGCATATTAATACTGGTGTTCCACAAGGCGTTTCTTCTGCATATCAATGATATGTTGCAAACCAGTAATATTCATTGCTATGCAGACGACAGCACTGGTGATGCTTTATACACCGGCCGTGCCAACATTTCTCGGGAAAAGGTCGCCGAGTAACGGAACAAAATTTTGTCTGAGGTCGAGTCTTTGTTGAACAAAGTCTCTGATTGGGGGCGACTAAATCTAGTCCAGTTCAAATCCACAAGACACAAGTTTGCGTGTTTACAGCTAAAAAAACCCCTATGTCGTATCTCCTCAATTTCAAGGCACTCCCCTTGTTGCCTCAGCCAATAACGGAATCCTCAGTGTCGACATATCGGGTGATGCCAAAAAGAATCCTATAAGGATTCTTTTTGGCATTTATTTATTTATTCATACCCTCGTCATAGTCCTTATATCCAAATAAATCACTTCGTATTCAAGGCTATATCAGTACCTGTACCATGCATAACCACCAACTACGTTAACCATGTAATTTAAATAACATTTTTCCCTTTTCAAATCTTTAAATTTTTAATTCAGCAACCGTCCGTCGTGATGTCTCGTGATACGCGGGTGAAACCACGGGGCACAGCTAGTAATGTCTAATAAATTTTTTGAACACTGAAGGATTTTGATACAATACATTAATTTCTTCAATAAATTTCCCTTGAAAATGTGATACTGAAACTTTCACTACTTTCCCTAATTTCACAAGAACTGCTCATAGTCCGCGAAGCAGGAGTCCAGGACTCCCTTCTCCACATCCGAATCCTCGAGCTCAGCGTAAGCCTCCTCCACTGCGGCCCTTCGAGCATCCACCTGCTCGAACTGCTTCATCAAGTTATGGACCCTATCCGGTCGACCTATCAAAGCATGGGCGCCTGTGGCCCAGCGTAGCTCAGTCCGCAAACAACGGATCAGTAGCTTGGGCGATGTCATCACTATTAAATGCAAAATTACGACGCGGCTTGAGCACAGACTACAAAGATAACAAACAAAAAATACAACAAAAATTAACAGTTAATAAATGCAGTTCCTATCAAATCGCGTTGAATAGAAATTACACAAATACGAATTACTACGTATCAACCAAATACAAGTTAGCACAAAAGAAAAGACACAAATCAAATTGACAAATAACAAATACTAGTGCGATCAAATCAAGTTAAATTCAAATTGCGCAAATACAATTACTACTCTTTAGTTCAAATACAAATTACAGTATAAACGAAGATACAAATCACGGTCGATCAACAAAAAATGCCTAGCTCGGAAATCGACCCTTCGATAAGTAATCCACTACAACTATCCGGCAACGATAATTAACCGATTACGTAAAAATAACCATCTACCTACATGACGTATATCTCTAGAAAACTCCCGCTTGCGCAACCTAGGGCGCGGCTTTTCAAATCTACCCACTAACCAAAAAAAGGCAAGCAACAAAGAACAAAGGGAAATAATTCTATTATTACGTACAAAAAAAAAATATTTTTACGTATTACGGACGGGCGTGATTTTAGACACAAATTAAACCAATCAAACCAACGCTCCCTGCCACCAGAATTGTTTAATGTTTATCAAACACTATGGTCGGGATCGACCGGGGAATCGAACCCGGAACCGCGCTCTGCTACCAGTTTGTTACGGCCTACGGCTGCTCCCTTAAAGGATCCAATCTTCAGGGGCCCATGAGCTGAAGATTTCCCGAACCGACGTAGGTCGGGCCCCAATGTGGCCACGTGGAAATTCCTAATTACATTAAAATATATGGGGGAGCGTTATACTACGGCCAGTCGACCGGAAGGAATTTGGATGAAGCTTACTTACCTATCCAAGGCGACTGGTCCCTCCGGAGTCGGTCAGGTCGCATGTGGTTGTGTAGTGCAAGGGAAGGAATGGTGATGTGGTGTGTATCTGGGTGTGACTGATGGTGATTGAACCTAGACCTTGGCCGTCGGCAGCAGCCCGAGCGTCGACACCGCTCCAACTTGAGGGCGCCTTTCGAGGTAGTCCACAGTCACTTTCTTCTTTCGTCACGTTGCCAGTCAATTAACTCTATCGTACGATTTACTAACTTACAGAAGCCACTAACTATCGCTGGGTATAATGGTTACCGCACAAACGCACACGGAGTTTAAAGGGTCAAAGGTCACTACCGTTTCGCGTAGCAATAGTTAATTCTAGAATATCAGAGGCAGCACTATCTAAGATTGCCGAATGCACTTATGCAGGTTTTGAGTCAGACACAATAAGTCCCGGGAAGCTCTCCAGTAGGAATGCGCGTCACAATGATAGACCGTATATTTACTGGCCGCGCCGAATTATTCCGAGTTCCCTAACAGAATGGACCGCGTGCTCACGTCAGCACCGATTATGGACGACTGCCCTTGGGCGTTTTACGCACGACCGAATGTCAAACCGGTATGACACTGAGCCGCACGCCCTCTCGCGTTCGTTCCTTGAAAGTGTTTGGCGCGAACAATTATAATTCCTGAAACTGTAGGTGGTCCTGAACTGTTCCCGAATGAAATAAATTTTAAATAGCTATTTAAAAAACGGAAAGGCATTGATAGGGACGAGGATGATGTTGGTTTATGATTTGGTATTGTAACTGATCATCATGTCTCCTCTGTTGAGGATTTTTTGAGCTATATAACCGCTGTCCGAGTGGGAGTGTGCGAATCCCCACCTTTGATTGCTTAGCTCGTGTCGGTCAATGTTCTGAGCGGTGAGAACCGCCCATGTACGCGGGTGTACGGCGTCGTATACGCGGTGTTTTTCGACATTTGTCATTTTTGGATGAAAATTTAATATAGTTTATAGAATCAGGCGTTACTTTGCGGAAATCCATTATATAAAAGCTTTTACAAAAATTTTCTTCGCAAATATCCGCGTTATAAAATAGTGTAGTGGTGTTGGGAGTAGCGGTGCTGGAATTAGTGGTGACCGGGATAGTGCACGCAATTGAGGGAGGGCGGGAGGTGCTCTTCGTACTAGGTAAGACACATCATTTTATTTTATAAGGCGGATATTTGCGAAGAAAATGTTTGTAAAAGCTTTTTTTTTTTGAAAATTTAATAGCTTATTGACAGCATGGTTTTAGATATGACAACATGAGATTTAATGTTGGCATTTATTTTAACTCTGAATTGTGCCGGCGACGTAACCCCCTTGTTCAGTGCTCCAAAACTTTTGTTGATTTTGTTTGAAATACTGAATATAGGTATCTATAACTTTGTAATTAAAATAACGTTACGAGCTTGGGGTTCGAGACAATTAAAAAAAACTGCCGATTGCATTACCAAAATTGACACTTTAATTACAGAACACTAATTACAACCTAAAACCACACTAATAATGAAACACAATTGTAACTACTGATCACTTTAGTTCGCAGTTGTATTGCTTCGAAGTATTCGCTTGTATCGCCAATTCAATACTGCCCCGGTCGCGGTCTATACCGGCCTTATATAGGGCCTCAGATAGTTTCCAGAACCTTCTACAATAGAAACTTCTAGAATGTTCGTGTACATATCGGCACAGAATAAATAATAGTACTAACGTACAGAAGTTGCACTCTTTTGATGTTGACTGCTTGCCGACGTTTTAATAGCCTACATAGTTATTATTAATCAGATAAATCACGCACGCAAGCTAAATAAAACTTTATCGCTGCGCGCGAGTGTCCGAATTACTTTGCATCTCTTCTTCTTACTACGTCACAACGGACTTTCCGTGGTTGCTAAGGACTGTTAATAAAGAGTAAAAAAATACATTGTGAAATGGTAAGTTACTTAGGTAAAGTACCTATGCTGATTATAATCGACCATATTATCTTCTACTATGTGAGTTCTGTGATGCCCAACGCATGCAACTTTTGGTTATTCCATTAGGTACATAGCCTAAACAACAAATAAACCCGAAATACGATTCCTAACAGAAATATGATCGTAATCTACTTAGTTGAAATTCTTGTAAACAAAGTTTTAATTTTAGTATTTTGTGCTATTATAACTTAAAATATTTTAATTACAAAGACGAGTATAGGTGTGTAAGTAGGTACTTGAGTAGTGAAGTAAATTTCAACTAAGTTTTTTAATAAAGTACTTAGGTGTTACTTCTGTAATTAAATTATTACTTAATTATTTTTTCACTATAAGTACCTATGTAACAAAAAATGAAATAAATTTACCTTTAATTATCCTTCGGTAACTTTAAAACTTATATATCTGAATCCTTTTACAATAATTACAGTAGGAACGACGTTTTGCCATTATAATTTATTAAATAGATAGGTAATATACATATATATATTATTCTTAAATTACATTAAAACTATTTTAACTATTTTATCCTACAATTAAATATACTAAACACTAAACAAAAACTATTTCGACGAGTATTTCAACAAGTATTTACAAAAAATTATTTACGTAAACAGCGTTAAAAAACCTTTAACATTAAATCGTATAAAGCGAGCTAGCCCCGACTGCGATCTACCCTTGGGGCAGCTCGCGATTGTAGGTAATTAATTCACGCAGGTAGCGAGAGTGACAGAGGCCTGATATCGGTCCCGATTGACTAGGTGCCGATAGTTCTAGAAAGTTCCTCCACGGAAATTTCTAGAAGGATCTTGACTCTCCTAGTTTTGCTACTCGATACTAGAGGGCGCTAGTGGTAACTAGTGTTGCCATGCGCTTCCATTAATTGTGGCGCGCAACAATAATATTAATGGGTATGAAATGTAATATTTCGTTTTTAACATGGTGGTCTTAATATTTATCTATAAAACTGATTAATTATGAATTTTACAAATATATTTTTGGCTTGGTTTTTGCCAAAAATTGTTTTTACGTCTTTGTCATAATTGTTTCTTTAGTAATGTTTTTTGTATATTTAAAAATAATAATGAAGTAATAAACATAATATATAGAAAAGAGTATTATAAATTGCAAATTCAAATTATATGATGTAGTAATTTATTAATGATTGTGTCAACTACTCGATTATAAATACTTTAACATGAATTACCTTTATCCAAATGCTCAGCGTATTTGTACGCCTGTCTTGTTGGTTCGTCTTCAATTTCTTCTTTCTCCTTTTGTATACCCATAATGTTACCTGTAACGTTAACACTAAAAATTAAAGCTACAAAACTTTGACTGGAAATATTTATTTAGTAGGGCAGAGTAATAAATTTTTTTGTGTTTAATTAGTTAAACAAAAAAAATTATATTGCTATCTTTCCTTATCCGTTTTTGCTACACGGCGCTCCTTTACGATAACAGATTCTTATTTAAGCCTAATCATTACAGCCCTTCACAAGTCCACTGCTGAACATAGGCCTCCCCCAAAGAATGCCACAAAACACGGTCCTGAGCCACCTGCATCCATCGACTTCCTGCATGTCTTACCAGGTCGTCACTCCATCTCGTGGGGGGACGCCCTACACTTCGCCTACCGGTACGAGGCTGCCACTCGAGAACCTTTCTTCCCCATCGGTTGTCGGTTCTTCGAGCTATATGGCCGGCCCACTGCCACTTCAGCTTACTAATCCGTTGGGCTATGTCGGTCACTCTGGTTCTACTGCGGATATCCTCATTCCTAAGTTTATCACGCAGAGAAACTCCGAGCATAGCCCTCTCCATAGCTCGCTGAGCGACCTTGAGCTTCCTCATACGGCCAGCAGTGAAGGACCACGTCTCAGTTCCGTAAGTCATCACTGGCAACACGCACTGGTTGTACAATTTCGTTTTAAGGTTTTGAGGTATGTCTGACGAGAAGATGTGTCGTAGCTTCCCGAACGCTGCCCAGCCGAGTTGAATCCGTCGATTGACCTCTCGGTCGAAGTTGGACTTACCCAGTCGGACTATTTGTCCCAGGTAAACATACTCGTCAACAACTTCGAGCTTAGTGTTCCCAACAACTACCGGCATAGGTGTGACATGGACATTAAACATGATCTTAGTTTTGTCCATGTTCATCTTAAGACCTATCCGTTGGGAAACACTATTGAGGTCATTGAGCATAGTGCTTAGGTCCTCCAGCGATTCTGCCATAAGGACTATATCGTCGGCAAATCGAAGGTGAGTGATGTACTCGCCATTGATGTTGATACCGTATCCTTTCCAGTCCAGAAGCTTGAAAACGTCTTCCAATGCAGCGGTGAAGAGTTTCGGGGATATGACGTCACCCTGTCTTACACCTCTCTGCAATTGGATAGGTTTCGTACTCTGGTTCTGTACTCGGATAGCCATCGTAGCCCTACTGTACAAGCACTTCAACACTTCGATATACCGACAGTCAACTTGGCACCGCTGAAGGGACTGCAGCACCGCCCAAATTTCGACGGAATCAAAGGCTTTCTCATAGTCCACATACGCCAGACATAGTGGCAAATTGTACTCTTCGGACTTCTGTACAACTTGCCGAAGGGTATGTATGTGGTCTATGGTGCTAAAGCCCTTTCGGAAACCGGCTTGTTCGGGAGGCTGGAAGTCGTCAAGTCTGCGCGCGAGACGATTCGTAATGACTCTCGGAAACAGCACGTAGACGCGGCTCAGAAGGGAAATCGGTCTGTAGTCCTTCAAGAGAGCGTTGTCACCTTTCTTGAAGAACAAGACCACCGCACTACTGCTCCACGCCTCCGGTGTAATGCCACCATGGAGGACGGAATTAAAGAGCTTCTGAAGGACTTCAAGTACCGGTCTTCCACCCGCTTTCAGAAGCTCCGCTGTAATTCCATCCTCGCCTGGGGCCTTACCGTTTTTAAGGTGCTGGAGAGCCATCCTAATCTCGCTCAGACTGACATCCGGGATATCTTCGGAATAGTGTCGGATGAGACTCGCTCTTGGATCGTTACTCACACTTGCGTGTGGCTCCAACGATGATGTGTACAGCTGCCCATAGAACCTCTCAATCTCACTCAAAATCTCAGGTGTCTCGGAAACGATGCTGCCACATTCTGTCTTCAGCTTTGACAGTTGGCTCTTTCTGGCAGACAGATCTCTGGCAAAGACTTTGGAGCCTTGGTTCCGCTCGATCGCTTCTTCAATACGAGCTGTATTGAAGTTGCGTAAGTCCCGCCGCATGCATTTGGAGATCTGTCTGTTCAGATGCCTGTATGCTGTCAAGTCTGTTGAAGAATGTAGCTTCATCTCCCGTCTAACAGCCATGAGATTAAGAGTGTGATCGGAGAGTTTTTGTGTTCTTCTGCGGCGGGTCTTGCAGAACTTAGCTCCAACCGCATGGACAGTTTCCACGAGCTTGTCATTCATATCGTCCACTTCATTGCAGTCTTCCAGGCACTGAAAACGGTTTTGTAACTCGAGCTGAAAGGTTTCGGGACTTTGGAACAGAGCACGAGGGGGACGGAGCGTTGACTTCATTAGACGAGACCTCTCCAACTTAACGTTTAGGTTCAGTGTGCCTCTAACCATTCGGTGATCGCTACCAGTTTTCACCCTCGCGATCACGGAGACATCACTGAACAGTTGTCGTCTGGTTGTCATAATGAAGTCAATCTCATTTTTTGTGGAACCGTCGGGGCTCGACCAGGTCCACTTCCTGTGGGGCCGCTTCTGGAAGAAAGAGTTCATCATAAAGAGTCCCTCTTTCTCCATGAAGTCGGCCAGCTGCTGGCCCCTTGGGTTCCGTTGCCCTATTCCAAATTTCCCTACTTTCAGCTCACCGTTCTCTCTTGTGCCTAGTTTTGCATTGAAGTCTCCCATTAACACCGTATATTGGGTTTTGGAAGAATGCATGGCTCTAGAGATATCCTCATACATTTCCTCCACCTCCTCATCGGGGTGTGCCGAGGTTGGTGCGTAAACCTGTATCACCTTCAGCGAATACCGTTTGGTGATTCTGAGTATAAGGTACGCAACCCTCGTCGACACACTCCCGATCTTTCGTCTAAGGTGGCAACCGAACCTCCACCGGAGATTCTTAGCACCCCCTGCCCCGCCGTTACCATGGTCGCCACCGTAGCCAGGAATAGCGGGGCCGCCGGGGACTGGGGGCCGTTTTTTTGTTGCTCTCATCATTGGGGGGTATTTGCCATAGTTGCCACGCTTGGCGAGCGGGTTGGCAACCGCAGTTTTTTTATTGTAATTTGGCTATTATCAGGAAGATGCTGCTGCCCATCTCCTGGCTGTTTCCCTTTGTCGCCTTTTACGACACCCACGGGAGGATATGGGGTAGTGGATATTCTTGACCGCCACTACACGGCATTTAAGCCTAAAAATATTGTTAACTACTTTTTGTAATATACGGAATATGTTATAGCAAATAACTTCTAGTTTTTGACCGAATCATTAACTTAGGGATATATTCTTTCGATATAGGTTTCAAATTTATTGAAGGAAAAATATTATGAATACAAATTGTATGTACTTCGTCTAAAGAGGACGCTTTTGTACGTGGTAGGGCCATGCTGCAGCTATATTACTGGTGTAGTTGTAGCACGAATGGGTCGGCTCGACCGGGGAAGGACCACGCTCTCACAGAAAACCAGCGTAAAATAGCAGCTTAACGCTGCTGTGTTTCGTATGGTGAGTGAGAGAACCGGAGGCCCATTTTTACTGGAAACGAGGCATTCTATCTTAGTCCTCACGGGTGACAACGCATCTGCATTTTGATTCGTAATCGAAGATAGATGTAGATATCTATGGACCACAGCAACCACTAACCATCAGGTGGACTGTGTGCTCGTTTGTCATCCTTATCCTATAAAAAAAAGAGGACTTTCTATATAGACCACAACATAAACTGAAATGAGTAAGCTGTTATTGCGGACATCTATTTGGCACGATCTTGTTACACCTCTCTCGCTTCTTCAAACATTCATATAATATATATATGCTCATTTCCATATGTGAGCCGTGGTAGCTCAGATGGTTAGCGCTTGCGGTAAGTTTCACAGTACGCGAGCAACCCGATTTCGATCCCCGCCGGCACCAATGAAATTGTTAATTGCAATTTTATGTGCTGATTTACAACCTGCTCGGCGGTGAAGGAAAACATCGTGAGGAAACCTGCATGTCTGAGAAATAAGATAAAAATTTCTAAGACATGTGTAGTTCGCCAACACTCATTGGGGCAGTGCGGCGGACATTTCCTTGCCCTCAAATCCTCTCTGAAATGAGGGGAGGCCTGTGGCCAGAAGTGGGACGTATATAGGTTGTAACTTTTTTAAATTTATTTCCATATAGTAGGTTATAATAATAATAATTATTATTAGAAAGACTCCTTCTATAAAAATAAATTTATTTAGCTTATTTTAAAAGTATCAAACTTCTAATAGTCTGCAATACGTCCGCCTCTACCTTCTTGTTTTAAATTAAAAAATTAAAATTAAAAAAGGCCTTAAGGGCTAAAGTTTTTTTTTAAATATATTAATATATAGTTACCTAGCTTAGTTCCTTCTAGTTTCCAATGTTTCTTCTGTGCTTTCTTCCTTTCTTTTTGTTCTCTGAATGCTTTAACTAAGGCAGAGCCTTTGCGTGCGTTTATCGCCATGTCGGCTGTTGGATCTTTGACCTGCGAATAAAAATTATGGATATGGAATTATGAAAGAACGAAAGCAACCCAAGTTAGATACCTCTCCTTCTCTTGTCTTCTCCAACTATTTATTAGGTTTTGGGAGAAGGGAGAGGTCGTCACTCTGCCCCGGTGCGCTTTCACAGACTCTATTGTTTGCTTGAAATGTATACAGACTGCTCCAGAAACCTACTTCAAGCCGGAAACGGGTGATATATCAAGTCGTAATAGATTAAAGCAACCCGAGTTAGATACGAGAGGCATCTAACTCTGGTTGTTTTAATTCTTCTCTTGTCTTCTCTAATTACTGATGGAGTATTGGGGCAAGGTAGAGGTCGCCACTCTGCCCCGGTGCGCTTTGGCGGACTGTGCTTGAAATGTATATATTTTTAATTTTTAGAGATGTAGCTTTCCTCACAACATTTCTATAAATTTTTCCTGGTGTCCTCAATAAGTGAGATGCCAAGGCTCATTCTATTTTATAACGACATAATGTGTATAAATTAAAAAGAAATATAGACCTTAACTGCAGAATCGAATCAGTACTTATTTATTGTATTGAAAATAAAGTTACCAAAAAATTTGTGATTGCTTACTGAAAATTTTAATTATTTACATGACTTTAGAAATACACTTACCGGTATTACGGGCTCCGGTTGCTTGGTGAAGACAATTCTACCATCCAAAAAAGGCGGTACTATATTGTGCACCAAGAGATGGACACGGTCCACGCTTTCCTGCAAAACCAACAAAAATTGACTAAAGATTCATTGTCCAATGTGAAAAAGGGGGCAAGTTCGTTACAAATGACGGCGCAGTGGATTAGCAATGGAGTTGCAGCGCTAAGGGCTGTGGGTTCGTAACCCGCACGGAACAAGAATTTGTATTGCCTACAAATAATTGTTCCGGGTCTGGATGTTTGTCCTTGTGCAATTTATGCTTGTAAACTGCCCACGCGATACACGAAAAATCCTAACGTGGAGGTGACGTTTTTTAAAAAGAAAAAAAGAAGAAATGACATTCGACATTAGACAGTCCTTGAATACTTTCCCATTGATCCTTCCATTAGAGGCTATACAAGGCCACTGGTGAATATAGGCCTAACTCATAGATTGCCTCATGGGGGGTTTCGCCATAGTTGCCACGCTTGGCAAGCGGATCGGCAACCGCAGTTATTTATTATTTTGAGTCGTTATCAGGAAGATGCTGTTGCACTTCTCCTGTTTTATTTTCTCTCTGTCGCCTCTTACGACACCCTCTGGACGATATGGGGTAGCAGATATTATTACACCGCCACTACATGGGTATCGCTACTACTATCCCACCTGATGGGAAGTAGACATGCAACCGAAGATGGTAAAGCGTACTGACTTAGCTTATCAAAAGCCTGCCTATTCACTCTTGTCCTAGAAAAACGCACCTTGCAATCGGATTGAAAGACTGATGTTGGCAATTATTACCACCTCGGTACTTTGCCGAAAACGAGTTAATATATGAAGAGTGCCTAACTCCATAGCAGTTACAAGAATGTTGAACATTTTCTTATAGAATGGGAGTGACAAATGGGCACACAGTCCACCTGATTGTAAGTGGATGTTGTGGCCCATACACATCTACATTTATCTTCGACTAAGAATCAATTTATTATTTTAAAGTCGTCACCCCTGAGGATTATGATGAAATGCCTCGTTTCCAGTAAAAAGGGTCTCCGGTTTTCTACACTACGATACGAAACACAGGAGCATAAAGATGCTATTTTACGCTGGTCTTTTCCCGTTCGAGCCGACCCATTCGTGTTACAACCATAATATAGCTGCAGCGTGACTCTACTATATAAAACTAAACATTTCTGTAGGTTCTATGATTTGAGCAACTGCTATGGAGCCTGGCACCAATTCAGGTCTGGACTCTCCGTCCTCCGCCTTCCCCATTTATGTTTTTGGTGGGATACATAATACTATATTATAGAGCCGTGAAGTGGCGGCGTAGGAGTCTACTACCCCATATCATTTTTTGAGTGTCTCGAGAGGCGATAAAGGGAAACTGAAACAGAAGATGGCCGGTAGCATTTTCCAGTAACAAATGAAAAAAAAACTACAGTTGACAGTCCGTCTGCCAAGCGGGGCACCTATAGCAAATGAGGCAATTTGTGGGAGAGGCCTATGCTTAACAGTGGTCTTTTAAAGGCTGGAATGGATGAATGACATGATTTTGCTTATAAATAGTTTTAGCGTCCTTAGATTGATGTCACTACATATCAATGAATAATTTATTAATGAACATATACAGAAATGTAGAGAACCAGAGACCATCATTACCGGAAATGAGGCATTCCATTTTATTTTATTTTTTAAATTAGGATCAACAAACAGTTTACACAATATTTCATCTAAAATACATTAACTACAAAAAATATAATATAATAGTGCAACCAACACCGTTGACCACCAATTACTATTAACAAAAGTTAAGATTGAGAATAGCGTGCATTTTTTTCATCTAATACAATGCTTGTGTTTGTAAATAATACAATAATAAAGAAAAATAATAATTATTGTAATAACCAATTACATAAACTCAGTCTCCTCTGAGTACTGAAAGTAATCCTTTTTTAATAAATACCCACCTTATGAGCAAAAATGTCAATATTATTGAAAGTATTACGAGGGCGACGCTGAAAGTTTTTAGAACTGGCCTAGAAAAATAAGTTCAAATTTTGAAAATGGAACACTTTGCCTATATTATTATGTATGTATTTTATTAATTTGTCATTTGTTTACTGAAATTTGTCTGTGTCACGTCAGCATGAATTAAACGCGATAAATTTTTCGTACAATATTTTTTATGACTTTCGATGTCATTTAAGTCAACAAGAAAGTTATGATAGACTTCGATTGGCCTTTCACGATGAAGCCCCATCTCGTGCCACCGTTTACAACTGGTTTAATGAGTTTAAACGTGGTCGCACTAATCTCACCGATGATCTGCGTGAGGTACGGCCTTCTACGGCTACGACTGAAGATAACATGTGTTGTGCGGCGTATGATAGAGACTGACAAAATAATGATTTATCAGCAGATTAGGACAAGCTTACGCATCGGTATGAGTGAAGTGCACAAAATCCTGCATAAATATTTCGCGGTCAGTAACACTTCGTAGTACGCTCTCTGAAAGCTTTGTGCCCAGTGGATACCTCATAATTTGACAGAGGCCCAAAAACTCCGTCGTGTTGATTGGTGTCGTGAAATGGTTCAAAGATTTAACGGAGGTGACTCAAATGCTGTGTTCGACATATATACTTACGGGTGACGAAAGCTGGATTTATCGTTATGATCCTGAAACTAAGAGGTAGTCTGCTGTCTGGGTATTTCCTTTCGAGGAGTTGCCAACTAAAGTGGATAATAGAATAGAATATAATACTTTTTTATTCAATATAGATTACGTGTGTAATTCTTATTGAAAGTCATTTTTTACTTTACCACTGGTTCGAGAAAAACCCTCTGTCCTGGGAAGAACCCGCAAGAAACCCAGCGGGACTTTTTTTTAAATAAATTTTACAATATAAATGATTACAAACTATTTACAAATTTATTTTAGAAACTGCTTGGAAGCGACCAAAGAGCGAAGAGAGGTTGAAGCGTGTGGAAAAAGATGGTGGCCTCGTTCTTGGAAAAAGTTCGGGAGAAATTACCTCGCAGTAGGATCCTTCTTCACCACGACAACACCTCGTCGCACACGGCCAAGCAAACAATCGACTACTTGGCGACTTCAGACGTAGAATTACTGGGTCACCCGCCCTCGCACCTTGTGATTTTTATTTATTTCCGAAAATAAAAGAAAAACTTCGAGGAAAACGTTTTATGGACGCCGAGGAAGCAGTGGCTGCGTTACAAAATGCCGTCGATGAGACCCCCTAAGGATGAATGGGCAAAGTGCTTTTCTCAGTGGTGCCATTGGATGCAGCTATGTATTTATGTAAATGGACACTATTTTGAAAAGATATAATAAAATTAATAACTTGCTGGTTTGTTCAGTTTCTGATTTTCTAAGAACTTTCAGTGTCACCGTCGTATTATAACAATTTACCAACATATATAGGCGATCTTTTAACTACCCTGGTTCGACATTTATTAGTAAAAAATCTATATTTGACACGAACTCTACAATACATTAGCCTATTGCGGTACTCTGTATTGTATAATCTTAACAAGTTCTGTACTATCGTACCTGTTATGACAGATATTATATAGTAACGTAGCTTGAATCTGTTGACGTCTGGTTTCTAATTTTAGTAAGTTATATTAGACCAGCAGTTGATAGTAAGGTAATTTAACTAGTCTGTACTTGTAATTTATATTACACAAAAACTTTTTCTTAATGGATTTGATTTTATCTATATATTTATTATAATACGGACATTAAATAGCTATCGCATATTCGACTTGTGATCTTATTAAAGATTTCTAGAGGTGCAAATAAGTGACAGGTTTTTTTTTTAAATTCACGTCCAATACGCATCACGAAACCATACATTTTAAGAGCCTTACTAATGACGCTTTCAACATGTGTATCAAGGATAAGTTTACTATCTAAATATTGTTGCTAAATCTTTGATTTTATGAACTTTTTCTAATGGACTCTACATAAAGAATAATTAAAATTACTTGGCTGACGCTTACGGGTAATCGTTATGACTTTACATTTACTAACACTCCAATCTAGCTTATTGCATTTACATTAAGATGAAAAATTATCTGAATATTTTTGAAAGTTAAGGTGATCATGACAATATTGGATTTTGCGGTAAATTTTAATATCATCTGCGTAGAATAAAATTACAAAACTTGAAACAACTATTAACATCTATACTAATATAATATACTAATATACTAAAGCGGAAGCGTTTTTTTGTTTGTTTAAACGCGCTAATCTCTGGAACTACCAGTCCGATTTGAAAAAATCTTTTTGTACATTATAGCCAGATCCATGTGGAATAGTATAGGCTATCTAGCATTAAGCTATATCACTCAGCTAGCCTTAAATATGGATATTTGTTGAGCAAGTCAAAAGAAAAAGCACTCCCGAAACGATTTATCCGCGTACGTTGGTGTTATCGTTAGCGATACGTAAATACAATGTTCTAGAAAAATATAGATCTTTACTCCATCTAAAAAAAAGTCCGTGATACAATATGTCTATTTCTTATACATAAGCCATAATTAGGTATTTTGGGAAAAAAAATATTGAAAATTTAAAAGTGATTTATGAGCGTTATTATTAGGCATGGCCTATTTATCTTTACGAACGAAAGTTACTTCATCATCAAGACAATTTTATGAAGATAAAATTTGTTCTTTATACCATGTTATTTGGACGCATAGTTTAAGAGATAATGTAAAATTAAAATAATTCAATACTTGCCTGGGCGCGTGAACGTCACATAAACCCTAGCCGCCCCGTGAGAACTGCGAGAACTGCTCAACCGGGAGGGGGAGGGAAAGTGGATAAAACTTAACTTCGCTCTATATCATACATAATATGCCGACAGATAAAAGTACTCCATTAATTATGCCAATTTTTCCATCCATTGCTATCAAATAAAATATTTAATTGCAATTATAAAATGCTTGAACTAGGTCATGTTGTGCACCTCCGACACGTGATGACGCGGGTGAAACCGCGGGGCACAGCTAGTCATTAATGTACAGAATAAAAAGAAGAGGCCCTAAGATTGACCCTTGTGGCACACCAGAACTTATATGCACAATATCTGACTCAAAACCTTCAATGACTACTTTTTGTGTACGATTTGTCACATACGACTTAAACTGTCTCCACAAATTACCACGGATGCCATTAAAGGCTAGCTTTTCCAGAAGTAGCTTAAGACCTACGCGATCGGAAGCTTTGCGAATATCTGTGTATGGACGTTACTATCCAGATTCTCAAATAAGTAGTTTGTATAAATTAATAAGTTAGATATAGTTGAACGCTTCTTGCCAGTTTAAACCTAGTTACAACGAAGCTAATGTTCATAATACTTTGCACGCCTCGGATAAGACCTTGGTTAAAATAGCCTACCGATTACATCGTCGAAAAATTTTTAATGTTGCGCGCGTATGAAATCAAAATGCATCTTACGTCCGCGTGCAAGAGTCTGTATCACTTATTCCGTTACGCGTCTTTGTTAAGGCCGCCTCTACTGTAGGGTTGGGTGTTGTGAGAAAACAAATTGAATCCTTTGATATTAGTTGGTAGCAGAATACACCGAGATGTTATACAATGTGTTAGTAATTTGCTGATAAGAACATTATTGTTCAATGTGAGAAAGGTTAATATATAACATCGAGAAAAGTTAAAATTATAACAACGTGAACGTCTTTGAAACTCAGATAATTTACCTACTTACCATTTTTAACCAACTTCAAAAAATATATTGCATAGTATGCGATGGTTCCGAGATCGATAGCTTCTATGAATTTAAATTCTTACGTACACGACAGGCAGCGACAAAGTTGTCACGAAAATTGCATAATAATATTTTTGGGGCGGGAATCCTTGTGGTCAACATGTGGAACCCGATGAATTGCGGTAATATCAGTCGATAGAATCCTTTGGTCAACTATAACCCCCGAATTAGTTATTATAGAAAAAATATTTATTATATTTCGCCTCTCTTTTCAGGTTAATTTGAAATTTCAATGTTATTGCCTCTAGCATGTTGTTCCATTGATGATAACTTATTTTCAAGACCAGCATTCCGCTCCAATACAAGCATCAAATGAATCTTGACGTAACTCAGAGGAAGATAGTGTGTTAAAGATTATTGTTAAACTTCCAGTAACGAATTTTTCAAAGCAGTATTATCCGAAATCATCCCGGCCACGGCCAATTGTATGTTAGTTAAGGCATCCGTTATTTTAGTAAGCTCAGCAGACAAAACAGAGCGAATCAAGTTTGTCACTAATGTTTCTATATGTTTTTCGTTTAAGATATTGTTGGAAGATATCGTACTATATTCGGATACGTCGCCTATTTCTTTGTGCTTTCTACAAGCAACGAAGTTATTGGTAGAATCGATTTCACGGTGTAGATTTGGGCTTGACATACACTTTGGAGGTGTATGTTGCATCGCAAATACACAAGTGAGAACAATAATATGCACTTATCTTTTGTTAGCGAAGATGAGGTTCGGTCGCCCTTCAGATTCACGACATGCAATGCTAGACAGAGAAACAGTCATCCACGATCGATCGTAGCAAACTAGTTACAAACTGTAGATTGTCACAGTAATTTGAATACAGTTTGTATGCACTTTTTTTAAATAGTTCGTCAAGCAACAAAATGCACGTATACTCTCAACGATATTCACAGACAAGAAGTGAAATTAGTCATTTTGATTCTTAATTGAAAATGTGCGTGTATATATGTAACAGCATCCACTTACCTTTCGGTGGACTGTGTGCTTGTTTGTCACCGTAGTCCTATAAAAGAAATCAATTTGACCACTGAACAACACTGACCTCGTCCATGTCGCTGTTCAGATTCACAGCATGCACCACGCCGCTGGTCAGCATCCGGTTCCGTTCCCACAGCTCGTTGTCGCGGTCGATTTGCTGTCTCTGGGCGGACACCTTCCGGTTGCGACGCTTTTCTATCTGTTCCTCTTTCCGGGCGATGTACTCGGCGCTCGTGCCCGCGAACGGGTCCGACTCGTCCGTCTCACCTGCATACAACGAATTTATAGCTAACAGATTTATTATTAAAATTACGATTACTGGTGCTAATGTTGGCATCTGGATATATAGACTTATAACTAATAAAACGAGGCCAAACTCGGCACATCTAGTTCTCCTCGTCGAAGAGTTCCAGAAGAAGTCATCAAAGTACACCTTCAAGTCACTCTATTAAGTCCGGATGTAAGGTCTCATCATTACTCACAAAACGAGCCCAAACTCGGCACATCTAGTTCTCCTCGTCGAGGAGTTCCAGTGGCAGTCTTCAAAGTACACTTTCAAGTCACTCTATCAAGTCCGAGGGTAAGGTCTCATCGAAACTAACAAAACGAGCCCAAACTCGACACATCTAGTTCTCCTCGTCGATGAGTTCCTGTAGCAGTCATCAAAGTACACTTTCAAGTCACTCTTTTAAGTCCGGATGTAAGGTCTCATCATAACTAACAAAACGAGCCCAAACTCGGCACATCTAGTTCTTCTCGTCGAGGAGTTCCAGTGGCAGTCTTCAAAGTACACTTTCAAGTCACTCTATTAAGTCCGGATGTAAGGTCTCATCGTCACTCACAAAACGAGCCTAAACTCGACACATCTAGTTCTCCTCAAAGTACACTTTCAAGTCACTCTATCAAGTCTGAGAATAAGGTCTCATCATAACTAAAAAAAGGAGCCCAAGCTCGTCACATCTAGTTTTCCTCGTCGAGGAGTTCCAGTAGCAGATACCGATTACCGGCACACCTTCAGGTCTATAAAGTCCAAGACGTATAAGTATTGTTACGGCCCTCAGTTGCCCCGACAGAAGTCGACTGGACCAGGGCCCATGAGTGACCCACTCGACGGGCAACCAGAGGGTTCGGGCCCAAATGGCCTATGGATAATTATTACGTAATGGCTGGATAAACAAACACAAACTTACAGAGTTCCGGAGGTAGGGTCGACCACAAGGTACCGTCAGGGGGAAGTAGGTGTGGTATAAGTGGTGTGAGAAAGTGTGAAAATGTAACCTGACGTCACCGATGTAATCGGGCAGCAGATTCACATGCGCTGCTCTGCTCCACAATATGCGATCACTCCAGTGGGCGTTCACCTTATATAAACTCAAGTCTAACGTCACTTAGCACAAAATTATAATCGAAGACGAACTCGATCTCCTCTCGGGTCACAAATTTTTAGCGTTCTACCCGACAAAGGAAAAAGGCCTTCGTACGATATTAAAATGCCATACAAGCAACTGTTCGACGCAAATTAATGGCAATCGAAGTTAAGTTAATCACTCAAAACTCAAGAAAAACCTCGTTGTCACGTAAACGCACGAAAAAGACAACGCATTAAGAGGCGGTCTTAACGCGACCTAACGATTCGAGCGTAACTTCCAGACTCGTCAGGACACGGTCGCCCGGTGAGACGCGCGCGGGAAAAAAAGGTGCCAAGCGGTGACTGGTACCATAGGATGAACGCGCCGAGACGAGCGTTTTGAATACAAGTTTTAAATGTTAAGATTTGGCCTAAACAATTATATTTATTTATATATAAATCCTGCGTGTTTTTAGCGAAACAAAATATTGTAATAAAAATCTGTGATTATTAAAATAATAATAATATCTTACCTTGGTCAATTATGTATCAAATTGGTTTTTGAAATATTTTGTATTTCGCGATCGATATTTTTCTACACGAGCCGCTGTAACAAACAACCGATCACGACGGCATTTGAGGCCGGAGTAAAGTACTCTGTGGCTGTAGCTCTGAGTACAACTTCCGCCTCTTTAGTAAAGTATTAGAGTCGAAAAAAATTAATTATAACTAAACAAAACAAAATTAAACTACCATTTACATTCAGTGGCATCCCACATGATAGATGAAGAGATTAAAAAATAGATTGAGTTAAGCAATTGATATTTTCAAAAGATCTAGTGTTTACGGCGCCATGCGGACTTGAAAAATCCACACCATAAGCAACTAAAACCCCTTTGTATGTATAAATAGCAATTAATCGTTTTAAAAAAAAAATTTAAACGTTCAACAATCATTTATATTTCTAGCAATGTGTTTTTATATTATTTATATGTATAATATGATTGCTAGATACGATTTCATGCGATAAAACGTTGGAATCTTAATTTTTAGGCGATAGTAGAACATACCTTGCGCTTTGCGCTTAAGGCATGCAATATAGAATAAGGGTGATAAACGAGCGAAGTCTACCAGGTAGTAAATGCACGCTGTAGTACATAGACATCTACATCTATCCTTGAGTAAGAATCAAAATACAAATGAATTGTCACCCCTTTGAACTAAGATGGTATGCCTCATTTCCAGTGAAAAGGATCTCCAGTTACCTACACTCAATATACGACACCAAATTTCCCAATAAAAGCTAACCAAAGTAGAGCCATGCTGTAGCTATATTAGTAGTATCGTTGTAGCACGAATGGGTCCGATCGACCGGAGAAGGACCACGCTCTCCCACAATGCCAGCGTCAAATAGCAGCTTAATGCTGCTGTGTTCCGTATGGTGAGCGTAGAGAACCGGAGAAACTTTTTACTGGAAAAGAGGCATTCCATCTTAGTCCTTACGGGTGAAAACGCATCTGCATTTTGATTCGCAAACGAGGATAAATGTAGATATCTATGGGCCACTTACCATCAGGTGAACTGTGTGCTCGTTTTTCACACTATCCTATAAAAAAAATTGTGCTATATATAATATTATAGCTTTACCACGTATAGTTTTTTTTTTAAAACGTTACCCTCACATCAGGATTTTCTACTATATTGTGAAGGCAGTGTAAAACATCCAGACCCTGAATAATTATTTGTATTCCATACAAATACTTGTTCCTTGCGGGATTCGAACCCGCGGCCCCAATGCTGCAACTCATCGCTAGATTAGGTACAATTTTCATAAACTACCTTTTTAGTAATGTCTTGTAGAATATGAAATTCTACGAATGAACTTCTAACAATTAAATGTTGCACTCATTATATTTGTATTAAAATATAATAATGAACATTAATCACCTTCACCCATATTGTACCAAGCTCGGTCCAGTTTCTTCTCAGCTTCCTCCCAATCTGGGTCGTCTATGTCTATTCCACGTCGAGAAGATGCCCATCTGTAATGTCGAATAGGATGTGGCAGTACGAACATATAAATGTTTAAAAGGTTTTAGTTAAATTTTAAAAGGAAATTGAAACATTAACTGCTTATAGCTTTTCATATCTTTCTTTGTCAGCTTGTAACACAAAAACACAATAACACAAGCAAACTTAAATTTTTTTTCTGCAAGGCAAAATGTTTCTGCAATGAGCCTCATTGGGCACATCCCAGGGATAGATGTATGATGTATGGGCCACAGCATCCACTTACCATCCGCTGGACTGTGTGCTCGTTTGTCACTCTTATTTTATACAAAAATCCTTCCTGCATATTTTTTTGGTTTTGTTGTAAAAGTATGTAATTTTCCCCATAATTTAAATAAAAATTTTAAAAAACCCCTAAAACAAAAAGAGCTTCAAACAACTAAACAGATTTTCTTGAAACATAGCTCAGAACACTTTCGATTCAAACGCCTTTCAAACGAAAAAAACCTTAATCAAAATCGGTTCATCCATTCAGGAGCTATGATACCACAGACAGACACACAGTTACAAATATACACAGATGCACACTACAAACATATTATAACTCTTTATACTGACTCTTTACAATCATGTAACTGCTTTGTTAGAATCAACCTACAATAAATAAAATTCCTTATGCAATATTCTGTGCAGTTCTTGCGGTTTTGGTGAAAAATATCCATGAATTTAAAAAAACATTATAAAAATGTCACTTACTTGTGCGGCGTCGCTCTAGGAGTGTATTCATAAGGTCTTCCTTTACTATCCCTTAATGGCCGTCCCCTCTCACTGCGTTGTGATTTTTCACCAGCACTTGAATCCCGTGGCAGTGGAGTTGGGAAGTCCCAACTTGATTTTCGAACTGCACCTTTTGGATCATCATCGTCCTCATCCCATGCTGTTTTGTCAGTAGGCTTGAGTACCTTCAAACTGAAATATTGTAATCAAGAATTTAGTTAATTGTGTATGTTGACTGGTCCACTTAGAAGTGGAGTTGTTTCCTTCACTGAAACGAACCCGCAGTGCCAGATTTTCAGGCTAGGTGATTTTCTTAAAATTCCTACGATGCATGCCAAACATTGTAAAGACTGAAAATTTTGTTGTAATTTTATATGTTGGTTCATGATATGCAGTAAATGATAAAGTATTAAGGAAATCTGGACATCTTAAATGTTGAAATTTATTTAATGAACATGTAATGTTTGCTACCACACATTAGGACAGTATAAAGAAGTTTTCCATACTCAATAAATCTTCTCAAAAAAGAAGAAGCTTGTAGGCCAATGTTGAGGCATTTATAGTAGACTTGCAACAAATATTCGGCTATTATTCGGCCTATGTGGGTACTATTATTCTATTCGGTCGAATACCGAATATCTAGGTACTATTCGGCCAAATACCAAATACTTAAGTAAAGTGATTGATAAAATTAAAATATTGACTTATTTTATAATAATATACTTTTCTTATAATCATAGGTACATAATCAACTTCTGTATTATTAAAATAGAAATAAACTATGAGATAAATGTCAATGCACTTGAATTATATTAATTAAAGTAGAAGATAATGGTGCAGAAAGACTAATTTTTCTGCATTTTCCGACAGTAGTATACTCCTTTTCTTCTATTAGACAATCCTAGCTTGAGAGAATAGATACTCTGAAGGATAAACACCCTTTCCTTCGCGGCTGAATACTTTTGCCTAGTATTCATCTATTCGGCCAGGAAGCCTGCCAAATATTCAGTATTTGATATTGGTTGCAAGTCTAATTTATAATCATATACATACAAAATACATACTATATATAAACAAACAATAGGTATAGCCTTCTAAGGTCAATAAACATGCATAATTAATTTTAAGTAATATTTATCTTGAGTATGTACTTACTTTGGGGTTCTAGGTTCATCTTTAAACCTGGGTTCATAATAACTTCTCCTTGAACTATCTCTTTCTGAATCTCTTCTGTCTCTATCCCTATCTCTTCTATCCGAATCTCTTCTGTCTTTACCTCTATCTCTATCTACTCTATAGTCATCATCTTTTCTTCTGTCCCTATCACGATCACGTCTCTCATAGCGATTATGGTAATAGCGGTCATCCTCTTCATATTTTGATCTAGACTTTTTTTCTTCTTTTGTGGAATAATGAACCCCTTTCTCTTTTGATTCTTTTTCTTTTCTGGAAAAAGGTAACAGACATTATAATATAATAATTTTAATAGCTCAGAGAATAAAATGAGACATGGTATAAATTATATATAGTACTTTATTTAATTGTGTCATAAATTGTGGCAGTAATAAATATATTAAAGGCATATCACGAACTATATCAAGTCACCACAAATCACTAACTTTAAAACCATTTTTATTATAGAATAAGGGTGACATTCGAGCACACAGTCCACCTGATGGTAAGTGGATGGTGTAACCCATACATTTATGTCTATCCTCAATTACAAATTAAAACGCTAATATGTTGTCACCCCTGAGAAGTAGGATGGAATACCTATTATCCAGTAAAAAGGGATTCCGGTTCTCTATACTCACCATAAAAAACACAGCAGTACTAAGCTGCTATTTTACACTGGTATCCTGAGAGAGCATGGTCCTTCCCTGGTCTAGCCAACCCTTTGATGCTACAACTATAATATAGCTGCAGTATGACTACCACATAAAAAAAATTTGAATATAAAAGTAAGGATACCTTACTAAAATGTCCAAATTCATTCCTGCTTTTCCTATGGGGAGGCTAATGTACAGCAATGGACTGTTAATTGGCTGTACCAGGCCTACATTACTCGCTCATGGCCCTGCGTTATATGCCTACCGTTTTGTGTATCACCCACGATACAACCGACATTGGGCTGCCGCACGCCCGCCTGAGCGCTTGCACGGCGCAATTTTCCCGCGCTTACTTGTCGAAATGCCGAAACCACATAATTATTGTGCAGTGGATGGGTGTAAGAGTCAAAAAAGCATTCTTAAATAATTTTGATGACGCCATAGTGAATCGGCCTGGCAGCATCGTGTTACAAATTTTACAAACCATTGATTTAGGATATTTTCAATGATAAGATTTAATAACCGAGAATTCAGAGAAGGAAAAAAAATATATAAATCATTTTATCAAACTCATATTTGATTGACAAATAAAAAATATGGTTATTTCGCAAGATTCGATTTATTACAATAATTATAATAGGTAAAAGCCTAGCACATTCATGGGATGACGCGCTTGCATGTGAGTCGCACTGCGGGCAACACAATATCGACTCTTTATGTGCGTACTTATGGTACATTTTCTTCTCGCTGTGAACAGCAGATATTATTATTAAGATTTTGTAGGCTATTATAGCATATGTATTTTCGCTTTTGTATGGAAGTGATGTATCTGTTTCCTAAACTATTTAGTAATCTGTGGCTGTACACAATTACAAAAACTATTTCAGGATGATATTATGCCTTCATATGTTATTCATTGTTGTATGTTGAAATGTAAAAACTATGCTAAAATAAATGCATGGTGTTGAAATTATTCTAAAATAAACTGTAAGTTTCAATTTCTAAAATGCAAACTTAAAAAAAACAACACAACCTTTAATTATTATTGAATGCTGATCAAAACTGTAAGTCAGTATCTCTGTGTATCAATCAATATCTTTGTGTTGTGGATCCTTTTGCATAAATATGTCATTGTGGAAAGAAAGAGTAAAAAAAGCAGAGAAAAAAAAAGGTTAACCTAGAATTTATTTACAATAAAGTCTTTGTTGTCAAATAAAATCTTATTTAACCATGTAATGGTATTTTGAAATGGCTGAAATGGTGATATATATTTTTAATGTTATGGACAAAAATATTTAGGATGTACTATTTAAATAGTGTTTTTATAGTTCTTATACGTTTATACGGCTAACCCAAGTCTAAATACAATGAATAAATTGATCGTAAATTATATATGAAAAGAATAATTATAATACACATTGAATAATTACTTTTGTAATCTTTCTAGCATCCTTTCTCGTGCTTGTTCAGACAGTCCGCCTGTATATGTTGGTGTTTCTTCATTATGCTTTCTATACTTTCTTCCTTTAACACCTGTAGCGTCATTGTTGTCTTCAGCGTTTTCGGCTTCGTTTTCTTCATCTTGGAACGAAATTAATCTACTTTGTTTTCTTTTTGCCGCTGCTAATTTATCCAAGCCTAGTAAAGAAGGTTTAGCAAATTGAAATTCCTGAGGTTTATCCTTCTTTTTGATGATTAAACCTCCAGGAGCATCACCAGACGTGCCTGCCAAACAATGCAAGTTTTCATCTCCTTCGTCCATTGTTAAGTTACATCAATACTAAATTCTATATTATACTGTTACACACTTAAGTAACGTTACAATTATAATTACTTTAGCCCAATAATAATATATAAATCCAGTTACAAAACATTGCACCAGAATACAATACAAAACTTTATTTTGACATTTGTGTAGAATGACAGATATAGGCTTGGGCAAAAAATATCGATATATTGAAATATCGATATTTTTTAATAAAACAATCGATATATATTTTCGATATTTTAAATCGCGATATATCGACATATCGATATTTATTTTAGAGTATCGAATTCGTATCAACTTCGATATATTTTAAAATGTTGTATCGTGTTTTTCGTCGTCCAACCGTCAGTAAATAAAATTTTGGACCTTATCTTTACATCATTCAAATGATGACGATATATCGATGTTTATCACGCGATATATATCGATACTGTTTAAAAATATAGATTCGATATATTTTTTCCCTTTGCCCATCCCTAGACAGATATCAGCGAGGTCCATATGTGACATCAGTGACAGCTTTGACAATACTCAACAGATGTTTATTTGTTGCCGTAGCTCGCCAGGCAGATGTTGTTCTGCCCTTTCCAACGACCCTTCCTACAAAAATCCTTAAATTCGCAATAAAAATTTTTGAATGTCGTTTATCGGGATAAAAACTATCCTATCTCTCAAGTTGGACCAAACAGTGTGCAAAATTTCATTGAAATCGGTTCAGTAGTTTAGGAGTCCATCGCGGACAAACTACGTGACACGTAATTTTTATACATAAAGATAGACATAATGTTATCAAACATTTACCTATAAAAATATATCAAAAACAACATTTTGCATTTTAGCATTTTGAAGAGTTGTTGTGCAAAAGGCACCTTGACGAATTGGTAAACAAGGTTTATCCCAATATAACCATCATTATTTGCAGTGTTGAATGTTTTTCTCATGCACAAATATATGGCAGCCCTTTCACGCGTCACTTTCTAATAAAATCTGTTCGTATTGTGTAATGAAAAGTTAGATGTAAACATTTTATATAAAACATAATTTAAGAACTGACAGTTATGATAAAACTTTGACATTTACAACTAAATTAACCAAAGTTGTTAAATCTGTAAGCCGTGGACAAATTTCGATCTATGTTTCACGATAATACACGATAAGATATTTTCTTACTTAGCGCATTTGTAACAATAAATAATCAATAAAATCGACAAACTAAATCGAACAGTGATTTTTTAAACATATAGGTATGACATGTAAATTGAACCGGGGCGGGTTGCTAGTAAATTATAAATGTGATAGTTTGTTTGTTACATTTTCACGTAAAAACTACTGTATGGGTTTGGATGAAATTTAACACACGCCCTCAAACCGTTATCACCGTTTCATCTCGATACCGTGGGATAATTTTCAATACTGGTTCATACCAGGCGAAAGAGGTCCAGGACGGAGGCTAGTAAAAATAAATAATGACGAAGTAGATTATAGTTAATATATATAATAATATAAGTGTTATATAATGATATAAGTACTTAGACTATAAAACCACAGTTTAAAGGAACGAAGTAGATGATTTTATTTTAACAATAATGTTTATGTTCTGGACAGGGGCGTAGCTACCACCGTTTCATCCGTATCAATGACACGGTGCCCCGGGCTACAGAACGTGTGTAATCATAAATTCTTACAATCTTGTTTAAGCTCCTAGGTCATACTTGCCGATAAAAAAAAATATCATAAAAATTTCCCAACGTGCCTAAAGAAGTTTTCACTTCAAAATTTACGAAACTCAAAAAAGGAATCTTATTTTTTCTCTGTGTTAAGTGGACGCCCAACAGTTAGCAACACAGAACGTCTGACGTCCACAGAACACTAATACCCTTAGGCTCACGTCACGATTGACTTGCGACCACAGATTCCTGAAATCACGACGAGACAATTTTTTTTATAACTGGCTTTACGGCTCTGTGTTCTAGCCCTTCTAAGCCTGAAGTTACAATGTATAATTATTATCCTTCATAGTATAGTGTAGAGATGTTACGGAGGTTCGATTCCGATTCCGAAAGTTCGAAACTTCCGGTTGATTTTGCACCTTCGATTCCGATTTCGTTAATTTTAATGGGAAGTTATATCGGAGGTCTATGCGCAGCGGCGGCGGCGGCCGCAATCAGCATGTACAAACAAGTTTATACTTGTAACCCCGGCAACCTCCCTCCTCCCGTGCCTTCTGTCGATTACTCATTAGGGCGGCCACATACATACGGGATTCCGTTTCGGGATTCCGTTTCGATATTCCGATTCGGAATCCCGAACGTAGCAAGTCCATATAAAATCTACGACCCGCCACACACGTACGTTATTTTTCCGTACGGAATTTCTCCGATTCAAGATTCCGTATGACCGCCTGTGCGTTCGGGATCCGTAGATTTTGTACGAGTCGCAACACACATACGTAAATTTCGTACGGAACGCGCTCAGTGTTCGTCGCACGACCGAAGCGAGTAGGTGTGTTTATGTATGTTTTTACATTTAATCTTATAGGTGTATAGCTTTTCGTAACCTTTCATCTTATTTTATTTAATAATTCGTCGAAATAATTTACATACATAAATATTTCATGCCGGCACATCGCTTGCAATTTTACAAAGCGCAAGTTCGGCCTCACATGGAATACTGTTCTCATCTCTGGGCCGGGGCACCCCAGTGCCAGCTCCTTCCACTTGACCGCATCCAGCGCAGAGCGGTTCGATTCGTCGACGACCTAGTTCTTTCTGATCGGCTCGATACACTGGCACTGCGTAGAGATGTTGCATCTCTTTGCGTATTTTATCGCATCTATCACGGGGAGTGCTCTGAGGAATTTTTTGGACTAATTCTAGCCGGTCAATTTCACCATCGCACATCGCGATAAAACTCGCGTTACCATCCATACCATCTGGATGATTGGTGGTCCACCACTGTGCGATTTAGAAGAAGTTTTCTCCCTCGCACAACTTCCTTGTGGAATCAATTACCACCAGCGAATTTTCCGGACCGATACGACTTAGGAACCTTCAAGAAAAGAGCTTACACCTTTCTAAAAGGCCGGCAACGCATCTGCAATTCCTCTGGTGTTGCGGTTGTTCATGGGCGGCGGTAGTCACTTACCATCAGGTGAGCCGCATGCTCGTTTGTCCCCTCTTCTATATAAAAAAAAATAGATCTTTTTACATAGTATTGACTATATTGCAAGCTTACGGGGATAAGGGGATGCACCTAATAAGAATGATGCAGCAACAATGGAATCACAATTAGAAAATCGTCGTCATTATTCGCTGGCAGAATGTCTACACGCAATGGCTAACGTCTCTCAACTGATCCTTGTTATTCCGAACGGAAAAAAACGTATGTGTGTGATGTGTTCACGGAATTCAGTTTTTTAGAATAGAATAGAATAGAATAGAATAGAATATTTTTTATTCAATATACATTACATGTGTAATTCTTATTGAAAGTCATTTTTTACTTTACCACTGGTTCGAAAAAAAACCCTCTGTCCTGGGAAGAACCAGCAAGAAACCCAGCGGGACTTTTTTTTAAAATAAATTTTACAATATAAATGATTACGAACTATTTACAAAATTTATTTTAGAAACTGCTTGGAAGCGATCACCTCATTCCCAGGGGTTATTATCAACCATGTATTCATTTATACTATAATAACCCTTTTTATACAGTTTCAGCTTAATAAAACATTTAAACTTGGTAATAGAGAGAACCTGTACACTTTCCGGGACCTTGTTGTAATAGCGTATACATTGCCCCAAGAATGAATTACTGACTCTGTGGAGTCGAGAAACTGGTATCACTAGCTTGTGTTTGTTCCTAGTGTTTACAGAATGTATATCACTTCTTTTACTAAAACTATCTTTGTTTTTGTGAACATACATTAAATTTTCGTAAATATACTGAGAGGCCAAAGTTAATATATTAATTTCTTTAAATTTATCTCTAAGAGACTCTCTCGGTTTTAGATTGTAAATAGCTCTAATGGCCCTCTTCTGTAAAACAAAAATAGTTTCTGAATCAGCCGCATTTCCCCATAGCAAAATCCCATAAGACATTATGCTATGAAAATAACTAAAATAAACTAATCTAGCTGTCTCGACACTAGTGAGACCTCTAATCTTTTTTACAGCATAGGCTGCAGAACTTAGTCTGCTTGCTAATTTGGATATATGGGGGCCCCACTGGAGCTTTGCGTCAAGAGTGATGCCAAGAAAAACAGTGGATAGAACAGGGCTCAATTCCTCCCCATTTAAAAACACATTGGTATTCAGATTTTGAACATTCGTTGTTGTAAATTTAACACAATTAGTTTTATTTCCGTTCAAATGCAGATTATTAACGTTAAACCAATGCACTAATTTTGATATAGCATTATTCACTTCGTCACATTTAAATGATTGACGTTTAAGTTTAAAAATCAAGGAAGTATCATCAGCAAATAATACTATATCATGACTATCCCCTACAAGGTGAGGTAAGTCATTAATATACACCAGAAACAGGAATGGGCCGAGAATCGAGCCCTGAGGCACACCCATTAGTACAGGTGACCCGGAAGAACTTTTACCATTGATAATAACCTTCTGTTTTCTATTACTTAAATATGAAATAATAAGTTTAAGCGCTGTGTTCTTGACACCATAGTACTGTAGCTTCCTGATTAATGTCTCATGGTGAACACAGTCGAAGGCCTTGGAAAGGTCACAAAATATACCCAAAGCATCCTCTGAATTCTCCCATGCACAAAAAATATGTTTAATAAGCTCAACTCCAGCGTCAGTTGTCGAGCGACCCCTTGTAAAACCGAATTGATTATTATGTAGCAATTTATTAATATTAAAGAAACTTAAGATCTGATCTAAAATAATTTTTTCAAAAATTTTACTTAATGTTGGTAGTACAGAAATTGGTCTAAAATTGGCGGAGTCTAATGTACTACCAGATTTAAA